CGTCGGTGAAAGAGCCTATGGCAAATCGGTCGGCGGCGAAACCAGAGCATATGTTAAGGAATTTTTACTGAGTGGCACTTTGGTAAAGTTTTCTACCTACAGAGGAACGTATAGGGGAAACTAAGTCAAGTCACAACGAGACCAACGAAGCCTACTATCGGAAGTTCAATACGCAAATAACAGTTACGAAAGCACTAAATAGTAGCTAGTCATAACTTGTAAGAATAATTATGAATACGATAACAGTCGACGATTTCCGAAGAAATTAATAAAAATGACGTGTACTATTATCGTTTTTTACATATCATAATAAATATATTAATATCAAAACAATTCCGGCGTGCATGGCATATGATCCAGTTATAATTGTTCTATGTTCATTGTTCAATAAAATATTGTTATTTGTTTTATAACATATGATAAACTGTTCAAAAGCTCACAATAGTATCAGCGATAGCGTTTGTTAACAACGGATAAAACCAAATGGCAACAGCACTACTTTGGGAAAAACTTTCTTTTCATTTCTATGTATTTATCTTACATAATCATATTAATTCAATTTAAATCATTTTTGGGTCATTGTGAGAATGCTAGTGGCACTAGCATTGTTACACTAACGCGCATTTTTCTAATCATTTTACCATAGTATGATGTATTTATACATATATTGTTGACAAATCAACACTAGTAACTGAAATCTGCTCAGAAACAGTTTTTCGTTAGCAATGGTTTAGCGTTGCTTACAGATATACATTACATTCATTAAATTCCCGTCTGTATCCTACCTTCCCAACTTCCCATCTACAACAGTGACTGCACCCACGCGCGAAGTATATCCGTCCTTTTTTATTTTAATTTAATTTTAAGCATACGTATAAATATAGAATTATTAAAAAAAAAAAAAAAAAAAATGTTTTATAAAAACAAGCGGTTAATAGAATCAAAATGACCTAAACCAATGCGATCACATTAAGCGGAACTCACTGTATTATTGTAATGTAAATTTTTCGACTCCACGCTTTTCGTGGACAACGAAACCGTTGTCCCGCCGTACCATATCCACCGATACAGCGTTTCACCCAGAGCATATTTTAACATACAAAGCATACAAAGCACGTGGCACTTATGCCCCTCAGTGATAATTTAATGCTACCCAGTGGTGGTTGTTCGTGTCATCACGGACCAAGTATTAGTGCCACTAGCATTCTCACAATGACCCAAAATAATTTAAATTAAATTAATATGATTATGTAAGACAATTACATAGAAATGAAAAGGAAATTTGTTTAAAAAAGACGATTAAAATAATAAAAAAATAAAAATTATTGCCAATGACAACCTTCTTTTTAATCTTTCAATCTTTTTTAACCTAAAAAAACCAGGTTTTCCTCATTGTTTCGAATATTAATGATAATTTCAAATAATGACCTCTCTAAAATACTATGAAAAGAACATTTTATTTCAGAAAAGGTTCTATACCTGATAATCGGAGTAGGCTTTCTGATAGAAAAAGTGTTCACGTTAAAAAAAAATAAACATCTTTGTAAAACCAATACAAATAAAATAAAGAAACTACCCATCTATTTTTGATTGTACCTACTTGAGAATCTACTAATTTAATTTCCGTATTAGCCTGAAATTTAAATCCATATTCAATTAATAAATATAAGTATCTACATCCTATTAAAATTAAATACATAATAATGTATGCACATAGTGCCTATAACTTTCGGAACACATCTACAATAAAAAAAATACATAATAAATACACATAGGTAACAATAATAAAAACATACAATAACAGAAAAACGATAAGAATATCCATAAAAGTGATTCAATTATCCGGTACATGGTTATTCTAATAAAAGATTAATTTAACATTAGTAACATACGATTTGGTTTGGGATTGCATTTTTGATTCCAATAAACGGTTGATTCTATAAACCTGTGATCGCTGTATTAAAATACATTCATAGATCTGTGGTTCCATTCCATATTGTACGATTTGTAGTGTTGTACTGTATGGTATTATTCTATTACGTGGTATTATGTGGTATTATGTCTATGATTTTGTCCGATTTTGATGATGGTGTTTTGTCAAATGGATCATTGTCGTTACTCATTATTGCGTGTTTTTGTTTTATGTCGGGTAGCTTTATACAGTGTCACAAATAAATGCTGAATATGATTGTAAATGCAATAATTACCTATATAGTAACCATCACGATCTTTAATCGCGGTAACCATGTTAAATTTTACTAATTTTACTTACGCCAAAGAAAACACGTGATAACATTTGTTGATAACAAATTCATGTCACGGTTAGTTACATGCATAGATAATATAAGAATGGATAGGGTCGTTATAAATACAATCGATTACGGCACCAAATTGAAAAAACATTACAGGTGGAACTAGATACCCGAGATTTGCCGTGCAAAACCACGTCGGGTAGGTAACAAGTAAAATTTAATAGCATTATAATGCTCCATCTATAATGTTTTTTAATTTGGTGCCGTAATCGAGTGTATTTATAACGACCGGAATGGATAGGCCACTCCTATATTAATATAATAAGGGGCCGCGTTCCGAAATGCGAACGAGAGACAGACTGTTCATACGGCTCTCACTCCATAGATATTATGAGAAACAAGACTGGATAGGCCACTCCCAGGACCGTATTTATGATTTCGGCGCCCTCGACTTTGCTTGTGATTAATTGTATAACTACTCGAGTAGTCATATTAATCATAGGGATTTATGGTATCTAGTTTAGTGTTTAGTTAAAAACAAACCATTTAAACATTTAAAAAAAAAAACGGGCATACTTCGCACGTGGGTGCGTGCAGCCACTGTTATATGTGGAAAGCTGGGAATGTAGGCTACAGAAGGGAATTTAACGTATATCTGTATAAGAAACGATAAACCATTGCTTACGATTGAAAAACGATTCTGAGCGGAGTTCAGTTGATAGTGATGTTTTGTCAATAGTATCTAAATCATATTACGGTAAAATAAATAAATATGGGCATTGTATATTTTCTTTAAGTGGCCTGCACGTAGCTATTAGTTAAGGAGTAAAATTTAGGCAATTTCTATTCACGTCGACGGTGGCCGGGATCTTTGTGTTAGTCGTAGACGATTATTAGTGCGAGTTAAATTTCTATGCGTGTACTGCCCAAAGCGACTCCGCCACTTTTCCCGTCAATGTAAACAGGTTTACTGTTTATTTTTGCACAGAATATATTAAAATTAACAGCCGCCTTTCTTGCCGTAGATCTGTCGCCGCGTGCCTCCTCGTCGTTATCGCAAATTTGTTAATAGCGAAATTATAATATACTATTATTATTGTTATCCGTTCGTCCCTCGAACGAGATGACAACTTTTGGATTGCCAAAATGGGAATTCAATCGATACATTTTCACAAAAATTATTAACCATCTGAAATAGTGCAATCCAAAACAATAACACAAAATGTACCGATTAATTTTAATATAAATTATTTTACCTGTTTTCACTTTTTATTATTTTTTCATATTTTTGGTATATTTCAGTTTTTTAGAATCAGAACGTACCTAGCGAGGAACCTAATGGTTTTACTATGATGTGTGTACCTAAATATTTAATTTTTAATTTGTTGTGTCTGTGAAAAACCTTTCTACCAGAAAAACTTGCTCCAAAGTATCAACTGTAGCACCTTTTCTGAAAGGTAATTTTCTTTCATTGTTGCGTTGGGGTGGTCATTTATGATTTTCCAAGGGATTTTTCAAAATAATAGGGAAAACTCCGGAGGCCGACACAAAACTATAGATAAAACGGCAAATATTTACGACGCGCTGTGGCGTTACCGTTTTCTTGGTTTTTATTATATTAATACGGTGTTTTCTACCAGAAAAATTACTCTTATCAAAAATAACCAAGGGTCGATATTTTCTCTCATATTTCGCCACTAACAGAGCAAGTCGTTTTTTGATGTCTAAAGTATTTTTCATAATAATTGGGAAAAACCAAAAATGACGAAATATACGAAGTTTTTCAAATTATCTACCTCACAACGATTTTGTTATTTAAAATTTATACGACTTATGTTTTCTACCATAAATATTGCTCCAATAGATACACGACAAGAGACCTTTTTTATTGCATTTTTAATCTTGTTCATTAGTAAGTTTTTTGTTTTTTTTTTGATTTAATTAAATATGACAAATATGTTTAACTGACGTTTTTAAAATTGTTCATGTGCAGAAGTAAATAATACTTCGTTTATTTTAATTAAATTGCCTATGTTCAATCATAAGTATTTAAATATTTCAAATATGATGCAATTATCCAAAGAAGTGTAAATACTAAATATTATATACTTAAATTATATTTTATAATTGGTCTAAACTTGATAAAAATGTTTTAAAAACCAAAATGCTATTGTACTAACTTGTATTATAATTCTAGGATCTAAATTAATTATATTAAATATGCCACATGATAAAATATTAAAACTGTATAAAAAACTATTAAATACTCATTTTCATTAAAGAAAAAATAGTAATAATACTTAAAATAGTTAAAATTTTAATACTTTATTCAGCATTTAATTGTATAAAAAATTCAGCTAACATAGGACAGAAAGCGCGCTCTACACTGTGGTAAAAATTTCAATCAAGTCACTATACGTATAGGAGTCCCAGAGTGACGATACACCATCAATACACCTTGCACCATATGCACATGATGGTGCAGAAAAATTAAATCGGTGTTGTTAATTTTAACACCGGTTACTCCAAAAAAATAGCTCAAATTCTAACCGGTTTGTACCAAAGAATTCCACAAACTATTGATTTGTTTGAACAAGTTTACAACCACGATTACAGATATCTTTAATCGTGTTTACAACTTTATTGATAAGAATCCTTGTAACCTCAAATAATACAAATGTTCGTTCTCCTGTGATAAACTCTCACGGCCTATCTATTCTTTTATTATCTATGTTTACATGTTAGTATGTTGTTCATTATTATTATTTATTTGTCAATACTTTTAGTGGTGACTTTCTGTTAGCATTTGTTCTTAGTATTTAAAATAAATTAGGATTAAATTACAATTGTAATTAGTGTCTAGTACCTAGGTAGTGTCTTAAGTTTATACAAATGAGTATTATGAATCAACTATTCCCAGCTAATCACAAAACCATATTTGTGGTGGATCATACTCCATACTTTGGGTTGGCTAGTAATGCATACATTAAAATGGACTTCACAAAACGACCATCTGGGACCATACCTCCTGTACCCGTATTCAAGACAATGTGGACATGTAGCATTGAAGCCGTGGTTGAATACTGTCGTATTGTCTGGGATTTATTCCCAGAGGGTAAACTTATACGTGTTATAAGTAGTGACTTACAACCACGAAACTTGAATAGCTGGGCAACGAGTCATCAAAACGTTAATTATATGCTTCATCATTTATCATTGTTAGGACCGCCTTCCAAACTTGTACCTAATTCTAGCCGAGACCATAGTATCATACATGGATTTCGTAGTGCTGCCGAAGCAATGACTGAATGTTCAGCGGCACAAGTGGAACAGGGATCTAAGAAAAATAATATAGAAGTTCAAAACAAGTAATACATTTTAATATTTTATTTTGTCTTAAGAATATGTACCTATATAAAATAATAGATTATTTATACTGTTATACATTTTTTAAATTAAATATCAAAACCAACAGGTTATTAATAATTTATATATATATATATATTTGAAGAATATTAAAAAGTGTATAGTATATGTATACTGAATGAATATAATAATATAAAGATTTACCTGTAGAATATATTATAAAAATGTATTTGAAATTTTGTAATATTATAGATACTTAAAACCCACTAGTTAAAATGTTTTTTTAAAAAATATAATATTATTTAACAAAAAAAAACATCTAAAATATAGGAGACAGTTTAGTTGTTGTAATATTTCTTTTTAATAAACATTAGATATTAAATATAATTTTAATATGTAAGATTATATTAATTTAGGCTGTATTTTATCGAAATTGGAATCTACTTATTAAAATGTGTTAGTGTTGTTTACTTGTAGGTACTGCAGGGAATCTATGTTACAATGTACTATGAAATAATGATTTTAAATGCACACAGTAGGTACCTAAACATTTAATTTATAACTTAAAAAATTCCAATAAATGCACTACAATGTAAAGGTATTTACCTAGTAAATTTACCTGTTTACCTATTTAATAGTTTTCTCAATATATCAGTTGGTTAATTTTTTTATATAGATACCTGTTTACAAGCATTTTTAAAAATAAATTACATAATTTCAATAGATTGCAAACAACGCAATCACTCTATTTATATTCTATATACATAATAATTATCTAGTAAAATTGTTATTATTTGCCTTAAACGTTTTTAAGTTTCTACTATTTTTAAATTTGCATACATAGATGCTTGTTTATTATTAAAATTAATGTTATTTTGTGTTTATTTCAGGGCCAGAACAATAATTCTTACATCAGCTAGAGATAATGCATCTATCGATAACCTCACATCCATGTTTAACAGTGAATTAAACAAAGTGAACAAATATGTGACTCCGCCCAATCAAATGTGTGTCCATCACTGCCATTTGGTAATCATTAATACATATCCAGATTCTATTACGAGCGAAGTCATTGATCGATCTGTTCATACAATATCACCAATTTTAGATTTGGAAGTTCATTCAATTCCTGCATCAAAAATTGGTTCTAAGGTAGCAAATCTTTTACTTAAACACTACAATCTGGGTAGTACTACAGTTACGGGTATTCCCATGAAAGAAGAACAAAACGCGAGTTCATCAGCCAATTATGATGTAGAGATATATCATGCAGCTACTGCACATACAACAATTTTAAATGCAAATGAATCTGATGCTAAAGCGGTAGTTGCAAAAAAAGAAGGAGCTGACTACAAGACAATTAAATTAAAATGGTGTACCCCTAGGGCAAATAACAATTTACCAGATATTCACAGTTGTACGACGTTACATAGAATCACACCAGTCGATATAAACAGTAGACCCAGTGCTTGTTTGATTACTTTTTTATTAAATGGTCGATCAGTTTTACTTGAAATGATCAAACAGGGAGGTGGAAAAAGTATGTCTCACGTCCTAAAATCGTACAACGGTGAAATATTCATCCACACAGTGTCATCTGGTCGTACTATACTTGAAGATCCCCCATCGATAAGTGAAGGTCCGGGAGGAAAAGTAACACAGTATAGAGTAGCAGATTTTGGAAGTTTTATGAAATTAAATTCACTACAGCCGGGAAGAAAAAGATCAATAGAGGATAAAAACGGTATTGATGATGCAAAAGAAAGATTAAAAAAACAAAGTGCATATTGGCCACTAACAACATCTTCTACTATAATATATAATTTAAAACAATTTATGGAACCAATGTTGTCGATAATGGTTAAAGATAATATCTCCGATCAAGAAGTTCTGAATTGTAAACAATGTATTTATGCGTTGGTAACGGCCGAATCAAAAAATGAACACCTTATTATGCCCAGTTCTTCGAATCCTCGAAAAATAATAAAAAAGGATGACCAATATAAATCAATGTGGGCTGAATTAGAAACATTCTTAAAATCTAACTTATACACGGAGAACCACTGTAAGGTATTACAGTGTTTGTTTGAATGTCGTGGTAAACCTGATGAAGAAAAGATTATTGAAAAAACATTAATGCGTTTCAAGAAATCTCTAGTCGACAGGCCTAGTGTGATACGTGCTACAACAGACTCGCCTATGTCTCCACCTTTAACCCAGCAAACAGGAATTAAACATTTAGTTCCACAAAATAATGCTAACACGGATCCAAATAGTGTTATATATTTAAAATTTATTAAGGAACACGAAAACTATAAATTAAACCAACCCCCACGAATACAGTTTGCAGGTAGATTAAAGGCAGTTCAAATGAGAAATGGTAATTTAATGACAAAACTTTACCAACATATAGCTGAGGAATCTGACAGTAAAAATTTAAAATAATACTCAAAACTGTTTCAATTTTGATCTCTTAGATTACGTGTATATTTTGGTAATTGTATTACATTTTGTTTTATTAGAATAGAATATTAATATATTTGTAGAAAATGTTCTCATTAAATGTTAATAAATATAATTTTTATTGTAATAATTTCTACAGAATGGTTTACCATAAAAAAAGTAGGTACCAAACAAACAATACAAAATTTTATTATTTATTATTTCAATAATATTATTAAAATTTTGTTTTGTTTTTGTTTTGCTTTTTCTATAAATGTGATAATTTATTGAACTTTTTTAGTTTTAGAGATAATTACTTCTAAAAATGACTACAAGTTGTATTATTATTTTTAACTGATAAATTTGTTTAATACTGAGAATATTCTAAATGCTAATACAATTGAACTCTGGTTTTAAAAATTTTTAAAAACGTCTTAATTGGTACCTATATAACATTTTTATCCAGACAATACCCAGACAATCAATGTGTGATTAGATTTTCCATTTTCCAACTGCTTTTCACAAATTCTCTATACTTTTAGATCATCTATATGCTTAAATAGTTTTTAAGAATAATTTCTAAGGGCTTAAGAATAGACAAATTCTAAATTAATGAGTTATGGAACATGTTTTAACTGATAGCCTTATGAATAACGTTATTTTATAATTTATAGAAAAACTATAAGAAAAATTAGACAACAACGACTTTACTCACAAACTAGATAAAAGTTTTCTTTCAGAAAATATGTTATTCTTACAATTTGGACAGAAATTGTTGGTAGAAAAATATAATCTTAAAAATTTTATATAATGAAATTGTTGCTCCATAATTTGAAAAAAATCGTATTTTTTGGTTTTTTCCAATTATTATGAAAATTAGATATCAAAAAAATACATTCTTTGTCTGTGGTTGTATGCTAATATGTTAAAGGAACAAAATCGATCAATTGGATTAATAAAACTAAATAAAGATGCATCTTATACAGAGTGTGTTAAAAATAAGTTCCTACATAATTTCGATTAAAAAAAAAATGGATGCATGTAAACTTTATTTGTCACTTTAGTGTTGTATAACATATTACAATGGTAAATGAAAACAGTGGTCCACAAATCCACAACTTTCTTTCGGCCTTCTCGGTAGCACATTTTCACAATTAAAATGCGTTCGTCCGTTGTCGATATTAAAATAATTGTAAATTATAAATAAAAACAACAATAAGCGATAACAAACAATTTTATCTAGTTTAGATGCTGCTTTCATGAAAATCATGGGTTGTTAATGGGTGAGGGGGTGTAAAAATTAACATGAGTTGCTAGTAGCTCATCGCGCCATAAAAAATAGTGTTACTGTTACCTGCTGCCTGCTGGCTTTATATTTCTGCTCTCTGGTATGTAAACGATCGGTCAACTTTCCCAAATTATTTTAATGTGCAACTTCATGATCGACTGGAAAGTATAAGTAGCTGCAAGCCGATTTTTATAAAGTTAAAGTGGCCCGGGTTTTGATAAAACGGGAATTTACTTTTGGCCCACTCTGTATATCTGCTGTTTTAGCTATAATTTTCTTTCGGAATAGTTCCTTTCACCTATTGTGTGGTAAAGCTCAATTCTCTAAAAGTACGTAAAACAATTTTTCATAATTTTCGATGAATTCGAAATGGGGGAGGCGCATTAAACTCACTAAATAATAACCCACCGATCATTTTGAAGCGAAATCCCCTTTTCCGATCTCTTCCTATTAATACTGTGTTTGGTGACAGTGGACTAGAGGTGCCCTAGGGAACATTTCCAAATTTTGACAGTGATCCAACGAATTCCGGGCTAGTTTAATGGGATTTTATGGTGTCAAACTACTGTATGGGGTGCCAAGCCAAATCGTTTGGCATTAAAACCACTCTGTTATCACAAAATACCGCCGAATCATATCAGATTAACAGACCCGTATAATAATATACTATTGAAGATGTTCCCCGCGTACGTTGAAAAACAACCAGGATACGGCGTTACGTTTCAAACGAAATAAAAAAAACATCTCGCGGCGAAATGTCAAAGATGAAACACCGTTTAACTGGCTAACAAATTTAAGACGGACATACTTCGCACCATGGGTGGGCCATTGGTATTGGTGGCGAGCTAGGAAGGCCATGATGTACAGGAAAAAAGGAATTTAATTTATATTTACACATATATGATAGGGATATGCATATACTGTCCGTACCTTATCAGTGTTTCGAGATGGACGGGCAAATTTACTCTACGTTTCATAAAGACATGAGGCGTTTTATCTACACACCGATGAAATGATGAATCGCCCCCAGTTAACCGTTCCTCCGGGAACATCGCCTCACTTACAATTATTGCTACGAGAGTGGCCTATCCATTTCTTTATGGGTTTACGCAACGATAAATCATTGCTAACGAAAAACACGATTTTAGACAAAGTTCGTTTAATCATGTTTTGAAATATATTATGTAATTTATGCGATTTTCATTAACGTTAAATGACTATGAAAAAAGTTATTGCATTATCATCAAATTTTTTCCCTTTCCACAGTAAATACAACTTACGATGAGTCTTTTCATTTTACCATTAAAAATTTAAGATTTAATTTAAATCGCGGTAAGTATATTCCGTAGCATAAATAATAATATTTACTACGGTTTATTCATAGATTTTATATAATATTTTAATTATTTATTTAATTAATAATTAATGGTATTAAATGTTCTATATTAATGTATTGGTGTTCAATTATTTCCTAATGTGTTATTTTGGTGTTTGATACCTCTTTGAATTTTTGTTGTCACAATAACGTCTTGTTATCGGTACGTTATCATTATTGCCGTACAACAATGATAATGTATTGATTGTGAGGAGTGGTACACTGGTATGTATTTATGTGTAAGCATAAATACGATATTTGTAGACCGTTTTTTTTTTTTTTTTGACTATTGTAAGATACCAATTATTAAATAGTTTATTATAGGTAAAATTATAATTTATGAGCAAAAATAGAATAATTCGATTGTATACAGTATAGGAAGACTGAAAATGAAGATGTCGGAATCTGTGAAGAAGTTATTAAAGCGTAATAAACCGGGAACAAAATCAGACGTAAGACCATGTACCTATTACTTGATTAATCTGTACTTAGGGATTTTTCTGAACGTTAATTTCAGTGTTTTCGTAAATGGCCGGACGAGTCGTTCGAAGAAATGGATAGTACGTTGGCTGTTCAAGAATTCATACAACAGCAGATACGCAAAGATCCGAGCAATATCGATATTATATTGACTCCGCCAGACTCACAGGAAGAAGGTGTATGGAAATACGAACATCTCAGGTACTTATGGTATTATTTAACAGTTTTTATTTTTCTCTTTTTCATGTTTATAGTCTCAAGATTAGTCTGTTGCGACTTCCTGTTTAGATTCTTGTATTATTACTTGTTCTTCTCCTTCATAATTTGATCCATACATTTTTCTTTGGTCTTTTTCTACCCTTAATATCTGTATCTCAAAACCAGATGAACGTAAATCACATTGTTTTCTAACAAAAACTAAAAAAAGAGACATGTTTTCTGCTATGTATCAGGACTTAGGCTCGTATAACCCTAGTAAAATTATGGAAGTATTTTTGAACAAACTTCCGTTATTATGGCTCGATGGAATACATATACTACATGCAAGAAATGTAATAATCTAAATAATAATTTGTGGACTTTCTTTAGTCTCGTTCCAAGGTACAGATATATGTTTCAATTATTGTTTGGTAAGCTTTTATGTTCTATTATTGGGTGCAGTGTTATTCCCTATCATTTTATTTCTTCTGGATTGATTATGTTTCCATACCTGTTTACCATTTTTTTAGCTTTATTATGTTGAAAATCGCTTAATTTGTAGCTATTTCAATCCATGACAATCAAATGTTATCAACATTTATTTGGAGTCTTAAAGCCCTTTAGTTTACTTTTTCCAACTAAATTTATTGTTCAGGTGTTTTTTAAATAAAAATATTGTAACACTATATAGTTGTGTTTGTGTATTTTTAGACAATTTTGCATGGAATTAAATGGATTAGCGGTCGAATTGCAAAATGAATGTTTACCCGATACCTGTAGTCAAATGACGTCGACAGAACAGTGGATATTTTTATGTGCTGCACATAAAACTCCTAAAGAATGTCCAGCGATCGATTACACCCGCCATACTTTAGATGGCGCCGCTTGTTTATTAAACAGCAACAAATATTTCCCTAGCAGGTATAACTACCGTTCTTTATCTGTTATATTTCCGAGTATGAAATGGTTATTATAAATATAACCTTTTAATTTTAACCAAATAGTTTACATACAGATAAAACAAATTAATCCAGAAACATAATTGGTTTGGAGGAAAATATGAAAATGAAGAATATTATAATATTTTTATGAATGATAATTCAGATGTTGTATCATTCACTTATTAACTATGTACATCATGATATTATATGATACAAATAATGTGAATAGGTTTTTGAACAAAATACTTAATGAAAATGCATGGTGAATATGGTTTTTAAAATCGTTTACTTGATTCATATGATACTCATTGATTAGATACTGATTAAGAATCATTGCATGAACCATATCTGTCTAATCTAAATTTCTTATTCATTGTCATTTTATTTTATTTTTTGCAAAACGGGTTTTACCATATTGAGATATATTAATATTATAATATTATGCATTGTGATTAAACGCTATTAATTTAACTAATATTAGAACACAAATATTAAGATGGCTCTCCAGTGGTTCTCAATCGGTATACGCAGTGTTGAATCGTAATGCATCTGTAATATTCGGTGTATAAAACTAAATAATGACATAAAAGAAAAAAGGTTTTCATTAAAAATTGTGTGAAGACCTCAGTATAACAGGTTTAAAAAAAGGTTGAAATCACTGATCTAGGCTATAATCTAAACATGAACGAACAGAGGACAAAATCTAGTGAATTTACTAATGTAAACAATGTTCAATGTTGGTCCTACCAAATGTCTTACAAAAATGCTTTTAGAATTTGTATTGTAAAATTACTTTATAGAACCTATTATTGTGAAATCACGAAGCATTGTGATAATGACAACAGTTACAAAGAAACAACCCATAAGAAATACATGGACATGAAATTATAATTTTTTTTTTTTGTATTTTAGTTATAATAACTTTATAACTTGAGTCCAGATTTTTATGTTTTTACATATTGCGATTGAGTATATACAGTGTATATGAGAGTGAAAAATATGGATGATTCGTTTAATACAAGAGTACACAGAAAAAAAATATATATTTTAAAATATTTTTATACAAATATAAAAAAAACTAAATTTAAAAAATTATAATTTCATGTCCATGTATTTCTAATGAAATTAACCGTGCTAAGGTTTTGTTTGAATCATGATCATTATGCTCTGCGTTATCATTAATAAGGTGTATTTTTATGATTTTTTATATTTTAAAGTTTCAATTAACATCGATATTTCACACTAAAATCACATATTTAAATAAAAACTTAAAATGTATAGATATTTTATTAAGTTAATTATAGTTATAGTAATAAGTACAATCATAAGTAATAATAATAAAAATAAGAAATATAAAATTATGAAAATGTATTTATGTAGTTATACTTATAAAATTACTGTTCAAATTGTTAACTTTCGGAATTAATTTCTAAGTGTTTATAAATGTTATCAATGTTATGTTTTTATTTAAAATAAAATAAATATTATATTATCTTATATAGTAACAATAGTAAACATGTTTTAATTTAAATTTATTATTTCAGAGTTAATATCAAAGAATCTTCTGTGGCGAAACTGGGATCTGTTTGTCGGCGTGTTTATAGGATATTTTCTCACGCTTACTACCATCATCAGAATATTTACAATAAATTTGAGGTATTAAAAAAAAAATTATTTTGTTTTCACGAGTATAGTTAAAAGTATATAATGATATTCAGTATTGGTAATTAAAATTAAGTATTCGGTTATAATCTAATGTAAATTATATAACATTACAGAATGAAACATATTTATGCCAAAGGTTCACAAGATTTGTGATAAAATATTGTTTAATGGCAAAAGAAAACCTCATTGTGCCAATGCCCGAGGCGATTATGCAAGGCATACACACTGAAGAGGATGGAACAACATCGATTAAAGAGACATAAGTTGGTTCTCCTTGGTGCCACGATATTCACTTTTGTTAAAAGTTTTGCGAGACACTGGCCTAGTAACATGATCTGATACTTTGTCAGCTCCTTGGTATCTGAAAATGAAACACTTAATTTAATACATACAAGTATAGCGAAATAGGAAATACAATTAAGCATTTAATGAATTTAGTTTATATTATTATTTATGTTTTTTTTGTATTTTGTATATTATTTTTTAAAAAAAAAACAACTAACCAAAATTATTTTACATACCTTACGTGATTATTATAGGCTGGTAAATTAGGGTGAAGATGATTTTTGGACAAAAGTATATGGATTGAAGGCAATCTACGGGTTGTAATTGTCTTCGAAATTTCACCATTAATCATCTCTTCTGTAATCATTCTTACGCTGAAAACATAAATTTATTATTAATAATATTATGTTCTGCAAGATAAGTTTTACTAAGTTTATTTTAAATTATAAAATGTAGGTGTAAAATATATATTGTAATAAATTATTATTTTCCTATTTTAATGTTTAGTGTTAAGATATTTATTTTTTAACAGTGCCATGCGTGACACAATTAGTTAAAATTAAAATATAATAATAAATAAAAGTGAACTATGCTTAACAAATAATAACAATACTACTACTAATAAAAAAAAAACTATTTATCTTGTATTCATTGGAGTTTTATTTAACTTCACTTACTTTCTGTATCCAATACCAGTGACTTGTTTAATTTGAGGGAATTGCCGTTTAAATATTTCGCCGCATGTGATGGCCTTGTTAACAGATGGACCACTGGCACTGATCAGAATGTGATCAGAAGTTTTGAAACTTTTAATGGCGAACCCAAGCATATTTCGTATTTTTGAATGGTGACCAACTTCCAAATGTTGATAATGCTCAGGTAAATTGTCAATTGTTATTAAGGCTCGTGTCCAATTTTCTTCTTGGTATATAGGTTTTGGTGCCGCCACTATTATATAAAAAACAAAAACAATTGTGAATTCAAAATGTATATTGTCAGATGAACGTTTAGATTCAACTAGCAATTTTGATTCTTCTTTATGCTTGATTATTCTAATAGGCTTATTCATTAATCATTATTAAATATCAACTGCAATAAGAAAAATTAAACGGTCATAAATTTATAATTTTAATTTAATTTTGAGGAGTTGTTGCATACTGATTTAGATGTTTTACAAAGTGAAATTATGATTGCTTAAAACACAATTCATCTGTTATATCCTGGAAACGATAGCGTTGAAGAAATAAGATTATGTAATACTGTAGAAACCTTTTTCTAACTTTTGTTTTCCTAATTTATATTATCTTTTATCACTTGCATATACATTTCCAGTTAGTAGTGTGATATTACATGAATGTGCTTTTTCAGCCATGTAGAGTATAACAACTTGATTAAGAAGCAAGGACATCAATTTTATGATTAATGTTTACTAATTTGATAATTATGAATAGGTATTGAAAAGATGTATAATATTTGTATATAAATAATATTACTTATTGATCATTTTTCAGAACAAAACAGAAAACTCTTAATTACATTTATAGTTGTTTTATTTGTTTGCTGATATAATTTATGATTTTTTTTTATTTAGCAATAGTTATATTCACTAGCATACCTAGGATTTATCAGTGGGGGTGTGGGGGGGAGTTTAGGATCTACCATCTTCTTAACCTTACCTATAGCTAAAAAAAAAAAAAAGCAATTGTATGTTACATCACCCTCTCCTGGCTATATTGGGGTTGCAGAGGCCCACAAATTCACTAATTATGCTCCCTAAGGTTAGTGAACTAATTGCACATGTGCCCCACGTTGCGAGTTAAAATGGCATAGTACCCTAGTGTCTCTAGTATATATCTTTTTCATTCACTCGATGTTTCCTTATGTTTTCTTTGTCTAGGATCTGTTCACATTGTAATATGTTAATGTTTTTAAGACCACATTAATGATACCTATTAAGAGGAAGGGGTACGGCCGGTTTTACGTAATTTACGCCTGCCAAAAATTTTGGTATTTACAGCAATTCGATTTAAAAAATTTAAATATGTTTGAATTCATAATCAATTTTACTTTGCATAGGTCTGAGTATTTTTTTCAGTTTTATTAAATTATTTACGAGAATAAAACTTAGAAATTTTTGTCAACTTTTAACGGTAAATGAAAAATATTCTTCGGACGATGTAAAGTAAACTTGTTTATAAACTCATACATCTGTACGTTTTTAAAATCGAACCACAGGAAGTACCTACCTCAATTTTTAACGTACAAAATACTTTTAAACTACATATATAATACGAGTATTATAAATTATTATAATATAGTGGGTATCGTATAAGGTACTAGGCAGTATGATTATCATCCTGCGTTTATCGAAATATTATTATTATTTAGAACAGACCGAGGTTAGCCAACAGCCATTACCATAGCCATAGTTAGGATAAACCGGATATCGGATCACGTAACTGACCGATAGTCGTGTTTCGGTGTTTATCTACTGTGTTCAAGTTAGAAATTTGCTCTGGTATGTGATCAGATAAAAAATTATCTTCGACTAAATATAGACATTTTAATTGAATACCTACACGATAATAGCTCATTTTCGTCTATTTTTATACACATTTGCATAACAAAACAACATGGTCGACATATTTTTTTATCTAATTCGTGAAATTACGACGTATTCGATCCGGCAATACTATTATTCCGGTTATACTTCCGTTTTTTTTTTCTCTTTTGCGAAACCGAATGTTTATCCATTATTTAAGTTATAATAGAATAAATAATATCGGTTGTAATAATAATTATAAAACACCCATACGTATATAAAAATAAATAAATAATTGATACAAAATTGTTTAAAACAACATAAATAAACGATACTATACAGTTCAAAAATCCCAACAGTAAAAACACCTAACCAGCTATTTCGTATGGCCATGGATTTTGGGCCGGGGGTCTATCTGGAATTAGTGTCAACAAATTGTACATCGGGTTATTTCGCGTCGATAATTTTGTGACGCCGGAAAAGTGTAAGTGAGAAAAAAGAAGGAAAAGTAAAATTGAGAATAGAGGAGGGAAGAATTATTAAATTCTATTTAGTATTTAGTATTTATTTAAACACGGATCACACTTAACAGTTAATACAAGTATTTGATGTATAACACACATCAATAGTTGCACCTTATATATTGTATATAGTCGTAACCTTACAGAATGAGCGAATGCAAATGCGCGAAAGCAAAAGGGCGAATACAAATATGAGTTTATAGTATATATTTATATATAATATTTTAATAAAGAGTCAAGAGGACATTAAATGCTGAGTATAGCGTTGTTTCAATTATTTTTCAAAACTATTTTACTAACGAATTTATTACAAATTTGAACTGTAATCAATTCTTGAAATAACTTGAAACGATAATTAAGATGTCTACACCGAAATGTCCTAGATCTCGCATTTACATTTCAAATAAAACGCAATTAATTATGCAAAAAATACAGAAATTAAATTTTTAAGATTGTATAACAAACTAATAAAGTGTACACGTTTTAATGTAAATGCTTTTTAATAAATATGGACCGGCATTAATGTTAATTCCATTTTCACAGGACAGAATCATTAGTCCTCTACAATCGATTATTACCCATTGTAGATCGTAGTCTAGTTTTAATGAGTTTTAACTTTACGACACTTCTTTCTGTTGATACGCTTCCAACTGGTAAAAATATTGGTAATATTATTTTTTAGAGATCGTGACTCGGGGCTTTTTGCTTCGACCCAACTACATAACAGAATCGATTGATGAAATTTCGAATCGAAGGGCCTCCGGCCTTCCCTCACCACTCCGCTAAGTTAATCTATTATAATCCTATTCGCCAACATAGACACTGTACACGTGTACTGGGGGGGTTGAAGTAAGTTATGTATAACTATAAGTGCGACGGAAATGAGATTTTACACGGTTTCACCGAGACGAACATAATATAATATTGGAAATCGAGTTACGTCGGGCGTTACTTACCTACAATACCGGACATTTATAAAATATCTAATATCTATTAATATTATCATCAGTAAAATCACGTTAGATAACAATACGAGTAATGAAAACGGTCGGGGATTTGGAAAAAAAAAAAATTTCGCACACGAGGTCTCGGTCAACGACAATATACGAGAACGCGCCCAAAAGAGGAGTGCGGGGGACGACGTCGGCAGCGCGGCGACGGCAAACGACAAAAATCCCATAAATGTGTGGACGGGAATCGATAGGTTGCGGGGTCCTTCAGGTTATTACACAAGGGGTGGGAGGAGGAGGAGGAGGGGAGGGGGAGGGTACACGCGACTTTTATGAGATAAAATGAAGTGAATTCCAGAACAATTGCGTCGCATAGCCGACATTCCATCCGTGTCCCGGACTCGACGGCCGACCGACGACGATTACTAATAAAATATACCGATTATGTGTAATTTTCGAGTCAAACTCCAGCCGGCAGTCTGCATATCCACTGGCAGCAGCAGCGTCGGCAGCAGACGCCGGGAAGATTTAAATTTTAATTAATATTCTTTATCGCCGTTTTATAAGACGGTAACGGCGGCGGCGGTGATGATGATGACGATGATTCGCAGACTCGTCGGCTGTGAGTCATGGCGTGTGCACAGAGTGTACACTGGAGGATTTGCATTTTCGCTTTGAACCGCCGCCGTTGTTTTCGAAATTTCCGTGCGAGGGGGTACACACACACGCGCACACACACACACACACACACACACACACACATACACACACTATTCCCCCTTGTTATATTTGTGGCCCGGCGACCGCGATATTAAAAAACGTCTCGATGCGAAAATTCCTACACGATTTGGCCCAATGACCTATTATTATTATTATTATTATGTATACCGAAATCGTTATGACTTACGAAGTCGACTGGGAGATATACAGGGGGGGGGGCACACACACAATAAATATGAAATATATGAAGAAAACTTATAAGGTTTTCGAGTGTGAAATTTAAATAAATATTATTTGTTCCGAATTTCACGAGTTATTAAAATATTTATAGCGGTACCTCGCCATCTACGGGTTTTCAATTTTCTATTGATTCGTTTACGGGTATCTACATATTTTATTTTTATTTTTGAAAGCTTCGTAGAATTTTAGAGCGAAAAATCCATTACATTTACTATGAAATGCGCAATTCACGGATGTAAATTTATAATATCATCCTCCCCTATAAAAACATAGACGTACAATTGAACAATCGCGTTATATTACATTTGGATTGATTTTGTACGCAACTGTAATACAACAATTATAGACAAGCCTCTCGAACAACCACGAAGAGAAAAATACTGTTATATTTCGCACGCGGGTGGCTCACTGTTGGAGGAGAGAAGTTAGGAACGAAGTAGAAGGGAGATTTAATGTATGTACCGATTCTGAACGGAGCTCGGTTGATAGTTTTGTTCTGTCGACAATGTACATGTCATATTATGGTAAAATAATTACATACCTATGCATTAAACACTCCTACTTAAACATTTCCTCCGTTTTTTCCATTTATTGAGAAAACTCCTGGGAAAATCAAAACATTACTTCGCTAATGTAACTCCCCAGTTAGATTTCCTTTCAGAGGAAGTACTACACTCGTTAATTGGAATACGATTTCTGGTAGAAAAGTTGTTGACAGTTAAAAAAAAATTAATAAAATAAAAATCATTGTAAAACTAAGAGATTCCTCGCTCCACTCGGAATGCAGAATGGAAACTCACCTCGAATAACGATTCGGCTGGAAATTGAGCGGATGGACGTCCTTCCAGATACGTCATATTCTGGAATCGCCCACCCGGAGTTCCCCGAATAGACTCGGAGCGTGAGTAATAGACAGAGCTACAAAAGATAACCCGGAGGAATGACAACCGATCCTCATAAAAAAAAATATAAAAATAGTGCATCAATTGGGTACCCGGTTGAAACGAAACATATACCAATCGATTCCGCGCAGTAGAACAAAACACGAAACACCAATTGGACTGGATACAAGCCGCTCAATGCATCCGGTCGGAAGACGGATGTCGTAGCACGGAACAACGCCGAACGCAATCGACGTGACAAAATACCGGTCAGATACGAGACGATAAATACCTTACCGTACCCAACGAAACCAATAACAAATATTAATTGACAACGCATATAAACGTTACCGTCATAACCCTTCGTTTTACTTCAACTACAAATATTGGTCCATCCGTCGTTTATATTTACTCCATTAACCGTCTGCATACTCGTCGGTGTATTTTGAGTTTTAGTCTAAACACACGCGTATAATAGGTGGGTACTTAATTCACCAATAGAGGTTCTGGAATACGAGTGTGATATCTATATTTTTCCGACCTAAAAATCGCATACCGCACGGTAAACAAATTCGCTGTCTATATTATTATACCAGCAGACGCCGAGTCGAGCTGCATTTTAACATATTCCGTCATCGTACGATTCGCATCCATCATGATATTACAAAACGACGAGGCGACGGGAACGCGGGGAACCTCTTAATTTCCTTAGAATACTCTTATTATATATTATATAATACGCGTACTACATGTACCGAAACGAAAGGAAAATGGCTAATAGTTTACGTAAAAGTGAAGTTTGCCGGAGAGTTAATTCGCTGTGAAAACTTGGCCAGAGACGTTTTCTGCGATCCTTTTGGATGCAAACTTCCGCGGTGACGCGATTGTCATTGTATACATGTCTACACACACACACACACACACACGCACATACATATTATATATTGACGATTATATTTATTGTGCATCATTGTTCATATCGTCGGACGGCAGGCTGTTATTGGCGAAGCAAAAGGATTATTCGACTGATTTATACACAGTATAATAGTCTGTGTGTAGTCGAGTCTGATAATGCAATATTTACGGACGCGGATTTTAAAAATAACTCGTGTACACTATACACATACATTACATATTATTATATGTGATGCGCAGTGCTAATAATATCAATATTCAATCATTTTGCCGCCACAATTCTAATGATTGTTATAAAAAAAAAAGTGATAAATATTTGTTCAAAAATGTCCGTGCGGTAAGCTATTTAATAGGATTAAAAGGACAAGTAGTGTGCGAATACCGCAGTGATTATAATACAGTGACTATAATAATATTCATTTAAGAGGACGTTACGCCGATATTGATAAAGAAATCAAGAGGGTTTTTTAAAACCCGGTGACCTTTTTTTTCGTAAACCGGCTCTCTCTATAAATTCTTGCATACCCCCCGAAAAGAGATCTGGCTACCTCTATGATCACCGATGTACGCATATCGCATGTTATTGCGCCTTTCATTTAACATTGGCCGATCGGCGCTCTAGGCTGCAGTACTTTTAACCTGTCGGTTATTCACGCCTCCTGTTCGGGTTGCACGGTTTAATCCGTTTTTAACAAATCTTATAGATATCTAAGCAATCCATTATCCAAGCAACCACGATTATAGTTTATCTACAATTATGATTACAAATCCAAAAACAAATTTAATATTATTGAATTCATTCGTAAAGACTAGAATAAGGAAAACTACGAGTAATACGGCCGTATATGTTACGATTAAAGGTATCTCACCCATGATATTACTATATAATACTATGGAACACTAAATACTTCGGAATAACTGTAATAAACGATAATCGATAATCAAACCTTATTTTAACACGGTGACAGTTGTAGATACCTTGGTGTTAACTTTATCATTGTTATTGTATTTTATAGATAATTGAACACTCGTAAGTCGTAATTTATTACTTAATCGCGAAATACATTCCATACTGAACAAAAAAATCAATTTAAGCGTACACATTTTTACGGAATGAACGAGAATATTGTACTTAGTAATAATATGATAACTGATAACATCTTTTGACTCAGTAGGCAGTAATTTGGTTTAATTCGTTCATCCCTATAAGGTTGCCTAAATATATTCGGTATTATCGAAATTTTAGAAAAAAATTCGATATTATCGTATCGATATTTTGGGACCGATATATCGCTCTATCGATGCATCTAAATTGAAATCTATTAACGCATTAATCGATATCATGATTTTTTTGATAGATATGATAAAAGAAATGTATTAAAACCACGGTTTTATGATAATCACGATAATCATGTTTTATTATAATCAAGTTTATTAAACCACTAAAATTCGATATAAACACAAACGTGCTATGAAATATTCACGATGTAAAATAGGGATAGTATCACTCGTCCCGAAACCATATACAGAACATAACATGTTGCAGACCACTGTCCTCCTCCCGTCCTTTAGTTTTTATAATTAATAAATAGTTTCAATAATTATGGAATGAATAAGCAGTATAATATTTTTTTTCTCAAAAAATACTTTTCAGTTAGAAAAAATGCTCAGATTTTTTCATATAAACCTCAAAAGGTGCGGATTTTTTGACTGACAGTGCGTTAATTTAAACATTTTTTAAAATTCCCCACATTCTCGATTTTTTTTTTAAACTTTCTAATCAAATGTGGATATCGATAGTTTTGGTTTTGATATTCAAAAAAATCGAAATTGAAATTGATTTGTGCAACTCTAACTTACGGCGTGGCACGACGAAGGTACGGCGCGCAACGCTATCTCTCAAACGTCGTATAAATTTCACTTTTTGTGTAGCTTTCAATGTCCTATTTTTTGTGAAACAATGAATAAATAAACAATGAACCGAAAAGAAGCCGTTATTGCGTCAGGTCTCCCGTTTTTCGACGTTGTTTAAGTATTAAGAAAACTACGAGAAATGTGAAAAAAACGACCTTCTCAATACAACGAATAGATACAATTTGATACCTAAAACCGTCACTGACGTTGATGATTGGAACAAGATTTCTGGTTTAAAAGTCGTTAACAGACATACACACACACATACACACACACACACACACACACACACACAAATACTAATAAATACACACACGTCATAGTAAAACCAATATACGTTCCTAGCTCGGAATCGAGAAAAACCAACCCATCAATCACGCGTAAAATAATATTCTGTGTTTCTCGTCGTTTTAAGTTATAACTCCGGACGATTTAGAATATCGGACATCGTAATGTTATTTATGAGGTATTAGTATACATCACACAGGCTGGGGAGCCGTGTAGGAGGGAAGGCTTGGGAGCGGCAGCCCCCCATAAGATTATCAAACCGGGGCTATAAGGAATATATGGGCAAAATTATATATGAGCCACTATCTAAAATAGTGGGCCCCTATCATGGTATTTTAAAAACTTGGCGCCTATATGCACACAGATAGTCGCGGAGCCGGAACGAGCGTTAAGGCCCCCACACGGAACGATTGATCTATCGATTTGCTGAAGTACAAATTGATCAACAAATTGACTATCTACTATTTACCATACGCGGAACTACAAAATTGAGGGCTTGTTTATCAACTTCTGTAGTTTAGGACGAATGCCAAGTTTGGTATTTGGTAGTATTCAATTTGTCGTAGACATATTTTGGTGATACATTTTTATTTTTTTCGTGCCGTTGATTAATTAATTTTTAAAGTAGCTATTCGTTAAGTAATAAGTGTAAAGTATGTCGACCATAGAAAAAATAAAAAATTGTTAATCACTACCGGACTCTTATCATACATAGAAAATACATGGATGATGATAAACATTTCTTAAATGCTCATTGGTATTAAGATCACTTTTAATTTTCTACAGAGCAGGATGTTTTTCATAAATGTCTATACATTTTGTTAAAAACTTTTTGCTAGACTCGAATTCCGTTTTGAAAACAATTAAAAGATAATGGAAAAAAAAAATGTTAATTTTTAACACAAGATGACACTGTCTGAAAGCACACACACTTTGACTAATATAAATATTAATTCTACAATATAGCGGGATTGTCACGTTGGCATATTAATTACTCTACACACGTGTTTATACACGCATCAACCTGTTTATCAATTGACTAGTCAACTGCAGTCAAAACATCAATTTGTCAATCATCGACTTGTCGACAAACATTACCATACATCTATCAATTTATCTGCCAATTTTGAATTTGTCAGCGAATTGACAAACCGATCGTTTCATGTATGGGGAGGTTTTACACGGTCCGTAAGTAAAATAAGTCAGACGGTCCTAACATAACGTTTCAAAAATACAACCAATTGAAAATCGCAAATCGGAAAATTCATCGATTTCCAAAAACCTAACGTAACGGTCCACGATTTTATTTATTTATTTATTTATTCCAAAGACCCCTTTCCCCCCAACAGTTATATGTGACAAACGCCAAGGAGTAGTAAGTTAACATTTTATTATATAAAAAGATTCGTCGACATTTGCTCCTTATCGAATCAATAAAATTAATACAGGCGTGTCTGTATCTCACGACTTTATCCCGGTAGGCCGGGAATAGAGAGATACTTAAAATACTTTACATATTTTTAAATAGTGTTATGACATCTGTTTAGGAAGTCGTATTTGCTCACGACAAGTAAATCGACAATTTTACTCGACACCACAAATAATATAACTTTATGAGGCTGAACACATACGAGATACGTAATAATTGGTAAATTAATTTTTTTATTTAGCCTTTGTTTTACACGTAGCTGTAGGCGAAATGTTTTTGTTGTGATATCATCTCTTTTCGGGACTAATTTCAACATGCATTAGTGAGAAAATTTTGTTTTACAATATTTTTTTTTTTAGTTGATCTATTGTTAATTACACATTATTATTATTATTATTTCAGAATACTTTCGGATTGCATACAAGCAACACCTAACGGAAATTTTAATGTACGCATAAGCCTATTGGTCCACATAAATATTTTTTTTCGTTAAAAATTCTGAACATTAATGCCCATAAATTCCGTTATGTTGAACGAATTTGTACGAAATTAAAAAAAAGGCACCACCTCTCAGTAATATTTTCAATATTTTGACATAAATTAGAAGTCAATTGATTCTGCAGTTTTATAGTTATGCGTGCGCAAAAAACATGAGCCGGTTTATATGAGTTTAAGGGGAACGTGGTTGTTCGTTATGAACTTATTTTTCACTTAACGTGTGCAACGACGTCGCACTAGATTATAATAGCGTCAAATTGAAAATAAAAAATAAACGGACATAATTCGCACGATGGGCGGGCCACTGTTGTAGGTGAGGAGTTGAGAAGGTAGACGGGGAAATCGAATGTTTATCTGTACGCAACTATTAACCATTGCTAACGAAAAACGATTCTGAGCGGAGTTCGGTTACACGTGTTTTGAAAGGCCGTAATATTCACGGTTTGAAAATAAAACGTTTCGTAAACCGTTGAAAACCCCCTGGGAAAATCAAAAAAAATCATCTCCTGAAAGTACCACCTCCAAGGTTCAAATTTCCTCCCGGGGAAAAAAACGCTATGCTCGAAAATAGATCATACCGATGACGGATCCTCGCGACGAGGACATTACCGGCTTACCGCACGACCCGGGACCGCGGTTACGCGGGCACATTAGCATCGATAAATGAAATCGGGCAATAATTTATTGATAAACGATACGATTTTCAATCAAACGGTGTTACGCTCTAATTAAACACGATTGCACACGTATTCCGTAATAACATAGGTTTTTTTTCCCCCGTCGTCGCATGTTCCGCAGACAGTGTTATATTTTGACGACATAATTAACTGCGATTATTCGTGGCACACACACACACACACAAACACACACACACATATGTATACATATACATATGCCTGTAGCGCATACGGTCCGAAAAGTCTCGATACACAAATCCCCGGTATCGCGACCGTCGACAATTCGTAATATTCGAACGTTCAAAAACACACGTCGTCTATCGCTCAGCGTGCGTGATTTTTTTCCAAACGCTTTCCTCCCCCCCCTCCCCCATTACACCAGGGCATTTTATCGCGTATTAAAGCGCGCCGTTTTAGTTTCCCGCGAAACGCCACGCGCTGTTACGAGGCCGCGCGATTTTTCGCGAATAAACCGCGAGCAAGTAAAATATTGTTATTATTATTATTATTATTATTATTACACGCGTCATTGTGGCACACGCGCGCGTTTAAAAACCCCGGCCCGGAATTAATCGTCGTCGGGACACCAACGGACAATTAGACGGGGACGAATAAAAGTGGTAGAAAGGGGGGGAAAAAAAAAATACGAAAAACAACAAAAACAACAATACAAATTTACCCGCGCGTCGTTCGTTTCCCGCATATTCACCCGGTCGGTCCGTACACGTCTATTAATAGCGTCGTATCCGAAAATGTTATCGCGACACGCCGCCGCGTACGCATCGCATAAATAATACGGTGCATTTATTATGTATTATGTACGATTAGCGAGCGCGCGCGTACCGGCGGCGGCACGTTGTATTCTGAGGAAAAACGAACGGAAAATACCTGCGGACCGCCGCGGCGGCGTATCAACGGGAATGACGTAGGCGTAATTATTATATCGCGTTGAAATTATTGCAAACCGTCGTCGGGTTTTACGCCCCGGGCAGAAGGCCTTCCCACAACTGTTCCGTACCCCTAGCGGTCAGGACGCGCCGCATTCGCCAGAGCCGCGGACTCGCAGCAGCAGCAGCAGCAGCGGCAGCAGCAGCGGCGGCGGCAGCAGCAGCAGCGGCGGCGACAACAATTTTGGAGTAGTAAGTAGTAGCCACAAATAGCGCCGTACGACGATGACGATAATAATAATAAAATACATTTTATACAATAAAATATCGTCGGCGATATTATTATTTTTTCTTCTTCTATGTCAATTAAACAAAACCGTAATCGCTGCGGATCAATCATTAAAAACGGCCGACCGTTACGGAATTAATAAACGTAATAAACGCGAAGGTTTGTACCTTGTAAAAAACCGTTTAAAAATATTTAAAAAAAAGAAAAAAAAAGCAAAAGCGGTAAAGGGGTTTTTTGAAGTCCACGATCGAACGGTTCTAACCGTATTAAATACATTTTTTCTATAACACTGACAGTTAACGATTAAGCTTTTTTTTTTCTTTACATGTACAAATATATTTGAAAAAAATTACTTTGTAATAATTCGTTTTTTTAGTATTAAAAAATTTTATTTTTAATACGCCAGAAACAACTTTTAAACCCCTCTACCTTTATTGCTCTTTTAAATAATTTTTTACGCTGTTCTTCAGGGCTTTCGTGACGTTTTCAAACGCTTTTTCGTCAATTTTAGTTGCGGTAAATCCGCGTCCTAGTCATAATAAATTGATATCGTCTTAGTCGTGTATTTCTTAACTCGTACGATAACCAATTCGTACGTGTACAGCGCGAGAGGGCTTGTTAAGTCAAAATAATCCGAAACGAAAAAAAAAAAAAAAACACCAACATAGGAAAAAAATTTAATTATTTCCAAAAGTCTAACGGAATGTTCATATTTATTGTAAAATATGATTTTGTTTTTAATTTTTTCGGTCGATACATTGATTCCTTGCGCTGAGCCACAGATATAATTTTAACGATTATACAGATTTTCAGATATATTTCTCACCCTCCTCCGGATTTCGTATTTTTTCTTAAAATTCCGAAATTTGTCTATGAAATCAAAATGCTTACAAAAAAAAAAAAAAAAAATAAAATAATGAAAACGAATTATAATTACCATAGTAATACGTTTGAGTTATTGTCTTTGGATGATATTTTACACGTGATTCCGACGGCGGCGTATATTATATTTATAGAATTAAATTTGAATCATTTATCACATTATATTCCTTTTCCGGGATGATTAAACGATATTTTACTAGTTAGAATTTTAGAGATAATAAAATTAAATCGACTAACGTAAAAAAGTTAACTTATTTAGGAATTCGACTAACTGTATGAGTTAATATTTAAAGGTTACTTTTTTGCAATAATTATCCTGTACTACAAATATACGCCATTACGCTCATTAAACATATTCTTTTACACTGTAAATATTTCGGCTCGCGCGAGTAAATTGAAATGATAGGCTCGGCATATGGTATATTTAGGCTTTTGCAGACAAAATGATAATCACGTAAGATACGCAATTTTCGTAGGCGGGTTTTATTTTTTGCATTAAATAACTTGTATACATTTTAACAAAATATCCAAATTGATTTAAAATTATTTGTTGAGAAAAAATTAACTACCCAGCTATTATCTATCGTAGTAATTTTTTTTTTACTGATTAAGTAAGCAGTTATCAAAAAAAAAAATTATAATTTTCAATTGGTTACTGTGCAGTTTTATACAATATATATTTCTGGATTCTTAAAATAAAATTGTTTTATAATACCGAAATTCGATTTGCTGTACATCGTACAGGACAGAAAACGTTACGTTAATCACCTACACAATAATAAAAACTGTAAAACAAAATAGAAAAAAAAAAGCTGACTGGGGACGGGTGCGGCCACTATTGTAGATGGGTAATTGGTAAGGTAAGGTACATAAAGGTACACAGTGTATACCTGTAATCAACGATAAACTGTTGATAGCGAAAAACGATTCAGAGCAAAGTTTATGTAAAGATTTTAAAACTCTTATAAAAAAAAATATACTACATAATTTACATTCGGTTTTTTTTTTTTGACCCCATGTACGACTTTTAATGTATCTTCAGTCAAAATTTCAAGCATTTCTGTTTAGTCTAACAATTTTATCCACAGTACTTACCAAATACAAATTACGTAAAAAATTAGTAAAATTAAAATATCTGTAAATAATTCACAAATTGTTCAAATGTTTTAAAAGTTTTGCAACGCCTAGAAGAAAATAAAATATAAGTTTTTAAATTGAATTTAATTTTAAGTTTCTACAAATAATTTAAATTGAATTACAGTAAAAAAATTTAAATTAAAATAATAAAAGGAGTATTTTCGTAAAATTTCCCTTCCTTTCTGCGTATTTTTCGGTTTTGCTAAGCTATTAAAAAAACGATTTTTTTGGTCACCGTCTAGATTGAAAATGCAAAAAAAAAGGGAATTTTGTCGTTTTTCTATTGAAGAAATATTTTTTGTAGAAAACATAAGCCATACAAATTTAAAATAAAATCATCTTTTTTGGTTTTCCCAAATGTTTATGAAAAATACTTTCGATATCAAAAAACTATTTTCTTGGTCAGTAGCTATATATTAAAAGAAACCAAATAGACTTTATGTCATTTTTCAATTCGAGCAAAATTTCTGATAGAAAACATCGTTTGCAAAAATTAAAATAATTAAACCGGGACGCCCCGTAAATTCTGCCGTTTTACTTATAATTTTCTTAATTATTTTGAAAACTCTTTAAAAAAATCAAAAAATGTCTTCCCAAATACATTAACTAGATAAAATTATCGAAATGTCTAAATTTTTACGATTTTCGTGTTAAACAGGTTTTTTTTAAAAAACACCACTACATCACTCTCAACATTTTTTTTATTACTATGTACAACTTAAAATATTCCTCGTGTTAAATTTTTAAGCATTTGAATTAAGTCAAACAATTTTATGCATAGTATACATAACAGATAAAAACTAAAAATGATTTTCTAATACAAAAGTTGTTTAAATATAAAAAAAAAAAAATAATAATAAAAAACACATCATAAATCTATTAAATATTCCTCGATAGTAAGAAACTAAAAAAAAAAATTAAATAAACCGTTTTTAATTTAATTTTTGAAAAATAATTAATTTTTATGTATACATTTATTTTGATTCATTTGAATACGAAAAAGTAGTTTTGTTTTAATCTACACCTGTAATAGTTCGTGGAAAAAAAAATGTTTTAACTAAGAGTTTTACATTAAATTTGTTTTTCTGTCTGTTAACAATTTTTCGACCAGAAATTTTGCTCTAATCATAAAATAACAGTCTATCTTTTTTGTTGCTTTTTGGATCTAGTTTTGGCACATTAGAGAGGTTATTTTTTGATTTTTCAAAGTATTTTCATAATAAACGGGAAAACCGGACGAATATTAATGGCACGCCGAGGCGTGACCGATTTCATTATTTAAAATGTTTACAATTTACGTTTTCTACCAGAAATATTACTTCACTCGAAATATGCCAAAAGACCTTTTTTGTTCAGTTTTGGATCTAGTTGCTGACTGAGAAAGAGTTTTTTTTTTTTGATTTTTCATGCGTTTTTTTATAATAATTGAGCAAAATCTGGAACAAATTCAGACGAAAGAACGGGAAAATTAGGAACAGAAATAATTATTTTATTTTATTATTTTCAAATTAATTGTTTTATTGTAATTACTTTCAAAATATCCGAAGAGACATAACATGGAGACAGAAAACATACATTAGTCTTTTCTAGTGGTAAAATTTTCAAAATATTTTAAGGTATTTTACATTTTCTTTTTTTCTTTCGTGTAAAATTGTTCGGTCAACCAGAAAAGTTTGAAAATTTAATACGAAGTTGTACTTAGAGGTAAAAAAAAAAGAGCATAATTTGATTGTATTTTTTTTTTTTTTTTTTTTTATAATAGTTAGTTTATTTGGTTATATAACAGTTTATTTTAATCATAATTTATTTCTTAAGGCCAAACAAAAAGTTGACTGTCTACGGGTAATGCTTATATAATAGTATATATTTTATTGTTGGTAAAGAGGTATCGAAAAAATAAACATTGCACGCTGCATTATATATCGCTCTTAGAAATGTCAATAAACTATTGTGCTTGTTTTTCGCTGTTCGGCTGATATTTTTTAACGCGGTCTGGTTCATTAAATTTTTAGTGTTCATTTTTTATATGAAAATAAAATTGTTACAAAATTGCAGGATATTTTAAACGAGATTTATTATAAGTATTGTACAAAGTGGTCAAAAATGAAAAGTTGAATGTAATGCTTTGGTTTTTTTTTCTTTTATAAGAGTTTTAGTATCAAACTTTGACGAAAACCGTTCAGAACTGTATTTCGTCGCTTATAAATTAAATGCCTAGAACATTTGGTCAATTCGTAGCAAATTTGATTCACCTAAAATGGCCCTTTGGCCACTTTATGGCTAGAAACACCAGAAAGAATACAGGCATACGCAATGACTCACAGACACTATATAATAATATATAAAATTGCGTCGACCTAGTTGTCTGAGAGTCTATTATATGACGACTCCATTTTAAATGAAAAGCTTTACTGGCGAAAGCTTTACTTACATTATATAGTGCAGAGAGACTGACTAGAAAAATATCATCGGTTTTTTTTGTTTATTCAATTGTAATTAACTACGTAAATAAATATGTATGAATACATATGAATTTGAAGAAAAAAAAATTAATCACTAAAATGATCCAAAGCTTACTGAAACAGAACCAAACTTCTAATAATTATGTACGTTATAAAAATGATTTATTGATTTTATATATTTTGAAAAGATGATTTTTTTTAGTGTTTAAATTTGTAGTTTTTCAAATTTCTATTTATCTTTAAATTTGATACCTAATTCAGTGAAAGATTAAGTTACTCGAATTTGTTTTTTTTTTAACCGGATAAGCATTATTACAATATATAATCTGTGATACAACAAAATTAGATACATATTATCATAAATTCTATTTTTAAACTAGACGTATTCAATTTCATTAAAAAAAAATCATGGCAAAATGAAAATAATATTTATGAACACAAATTTTGTATTTAATAAATAACACATTTGTGTACAAATGGATTTAATTGTTTTTATATTAAGTTAAAAATAATCGTAGAGATCTGAGACTAATTTATTTTTATCAAATAAGTAGTAATTCTATTTTCGAATTATCCCGAAAATGCAGAATGCTATTATTTATTTGAATTCAAACCTACGATAAAATTTGTAAAAAAATAAATATGTAATTTATTTCGTTGTTATTAATACAATTTTCAATTTTAATCAATCAAAAAATGTTTAACCTAACTCAGAATGGGTTTTCGTATAGAATGTTCTATCGTTGCATGCGGTGTATGAGCTAAATTACCCTATACCTATACCCAATACCTATGGTACGTCTCTAACTATTTTCTTTTTTTAATAACCTATTATAATAAAGTCGCTGAATATCTTGAAAACGTCGAAAGCCATATTTAACGAGTTCACTTCCGATAATTAAACATAAATTATTTCCTGATATTTGTTCATTATACATTTCATCAATCCTCAGCACTATATATACTCCAACATGTCAAATATACACGCTGAAATAATTAAAATACACTCTTCAATTTCAGAGAAAATCATTTCTGATTTAATAATATAAGAAACGAAAAAAAAAAATCGAAAAATTCTGTTTTTGACTCGAAGTGGTTGCCGTCAATCTAAAAATATTACATACCTACCTTTATGACAACGCGAATGATTTTCATTCTCAAAGAAAATTTAATTAACCTAACATCTCGAGTGATGAAACACAGCGATTTTGAATAATATAATTAACAACTAATTGTATTCCAAGTGTTAATTAACAGGTATAATGCATATTGCATGTATGTATACGTTTGTTTAGTTTTTAAGGCGGTTTACGATAATGGACACTGAACAATTTCGAAAGCACGGTAAGGAGATGGTGGACTATATATGTGATTATTTAGAGACGATAAAACAGAGAAGGGTGACTCCTACAGTGAGTCCAGGTTGGTTGAAGAATAAAATTCCATTAGAAGCGCCCGTACAACCGGAGCCATTCGAGGCCATAATGGAAGATTTCGAACAAATTATTATGCCTGGAGTAAGACGTTTTTTATTTATTAGAAACAGTAGATGTAATATTGTGTCATAGCAAAACAATTGACAAACACTTAGGTATATCTTAATTTATGTTAAGTTCGTTTAAGTATCTATGCATTAAATGCCAAGGGGGTTGGAGCAGGTTTGTTAAAATTATTTTTTACCGCCTTAATAATGTTATGATTTTTCTATTAATCTACTGCCCGTTATTTATTTAAATAGAAGTGGTACGGTCGTTTTTACGGGCGAATATGACGTTTTAGACCAATAATAAGCCAGACGAAACTGTGAGGCTTGGGATTGACGGAATCAAATTTTGAAAATCTATTTGAATTTATCTTCTAGTTTTATAGGTTTCAATTAAAGCGATTTACGATATTTAACTTTATCGTTAAAATATGAATAATTAAAAAAAAAAAAAAAAATGTATTATCTGTACACCAAACCGTATGCATTCAATTTTCAAAATATCAAAATTCACCTAACTAGAAACCTAGAATACAAAATCAAATACATTTTTAAAATTCAAATCCACTCACATTTTCGTATTGGTTTGTTTTATGTATGCTTTTAATATGCTCCGTCCCTCTTAAAAAAAATGATAAATAATAATACGTTGACTTACTTATTGATATTATGGCAGCTATTACAATGTTCTCGAATTCTACTTTAAAATTTTTGATATAAAATCTGTAAAAAAAAAAAAAAAGTAATCGTTAATGTATATATTTGGTAGGTGACTCATTGGCAGCATCCAAGATTTCACGCTTATTTTCCCTCCGGTAATTCGTTTCCCTCGATTTTAGCAGACATGTTATCGGATTCTATAGCGTGTATAGGGTTCTCGTGGGTGAGTATACAATCAATCAAGACGTAGGTAGTCGACGTGTATAGTCAAATTTCAAATATTAATTTATAACTAACATTACGAATATTGTATAAAGGCCGCAAGTCCGTCGTGTACCGAATTGGAGACTATAGTTTTGGATTGGCTCGGTAAAGCCATTGGATTACCGAACGATTTTTTAACATTTTCAGAAGAAACATTTAATAACATCGTTGTCGATTCCGCAAAAAATAAAGACGGCACAAACGATATACATAACGGTAAAGGCGGTGGCGTACTTCAGGTAAAAAAAAAAAAATATTTTTTTACATTCCGGTATGCGATTTTAACTTTTTTAAATATATTTTTAGGGTTCGGCGAGCGAGTGCGTATTCGTGTGCATGTTGGCGGCTCGAGCACAAGCAATCAAACGATTGCGGAAACTCCATCCGTTTATCGAGGAAGGTGTTCTGTTGTCGAAACTCATGGCTTACTGCTCTAAAGAATCGCATTCGTGCGTGGAAAAAGGCGCCATGATGGCGTTCGTTAAATTACGCATTCTCGAGCCGGACGAATACAACAGTTTACGAGGCGCTACGTTAAGAGAGGTCAATATTGACAACATACGATCAAAAATTAAAGGTTGAACGTAATATATTTATCTTTGTCGGCGAAATATTTCATATAGGTGATGGAACAAGACGAGGCGATGGGCTTGATACCGTTTTTCGTGTCTACTACGTTAGGGACAACGTCCTGTTGTTCGTTTGACAATATAGTCGAAATCGGACAAGTGTGCCAACAGTTCGAAACCGTATGGTTACACGTCGACGCCGCTTACGCAGGGAGCGCGTTTATATGCCCGGAGTTTCGGTATTTAATGAACGGCGTACAATACGCAGACTCGTTTAATCTCAACACGAACAAGTGGCTGCTGACGAATTTCGACTGTTCGTGTCTTTGGGTGAAAGATAGGCTTAAATTGACTTGCGCTTTGGTGGTCGACCCTCTTTACTTGCAACACGGTTACGCGGGCGCCGTGGATTATAGACATTGGGGCATACCGTTGAGTAGACGTTTCAGGTACCACTACCAATATCTTATATACCACGACAATTCGAAATTATTAATAATATTTTGCATAAAAAAAAAAAAAAAAAACCAAAAACAAACAAATTCCGATAAATATTCACAGATGATAATTTATTTCAAATTAGATCGTTAAAGCTATGGTTCGTGTTACGGACGTATGGAATTACAGGGCTCCAGAAATACATAAGACAACACTGTCAACTAGCCAAGCGATTCGAAAGATTAGTCAAGAGTGACTGTACGTATGAAATTCTAAACGACGTTAAGGTAAACAAAATTATTATTAAAAAAAATATTTTTTTATTGTTAAAATCACCTTTTTTTAAAATTTTTTTTTAAACAGATGGGTTTAGTTTGTTTCCGTTTGAAAAACGATCCGACCAATAAACTAAATAAAAAGCTCTTGGAAACCATTAATGAATCGGGGAAACTTCACATGGTGCCGGCTTTAGTACACGACAAGTATGTCATCAGGTTTTGTGTCGTAGCGGAGCATGCTACCGAAGACGATATCGGTAATATAAAAATAATTAATTCGTCTATATTTTTTACTTTTGAACATCCAATTATTTATTTTATTTTTTTTTTTTGCCATATTTTTTATTCATTTTCTCTGAGGATATTAAGTGAATATCTGTTTTCAATCGTTACGAAATTATTCATGTTTTATTTTAATAAGATTTTCAAAATTTCACTTTATATCTTAAATTAGCATTAATTTTTGATTTTCAAATGGCAATAAAAATACTTTTCTGGAAATTGTAACAACCATAATACTAAATTAATATTAGATTTACCGTTTATAAATCTTGTGAGTTTATATAATTTATATTTATATAATATAAACTTAGACCAAAAAAACATGAACTTTGTTTACCATGTTGATTTATACAAATTGTATACATTTTCAATTGATACTTAATTCACATTTAGAATTTTATATTTTTGAATAAATATATTATTATTTCATAATATACGAATTGATAATATAGGAAATAGTAATAAAAAATTATTTCCTCGACTCTCATTTAAACTTTAAAATCGTATATAATAAATAATCCAATCAGATCACTATACATGTAAATAAATATATAAGAATCATGGTGTTTCATAATAAAAATTTAAAAAAAAATATATTCTAGTATCAAATCTAAAATGAATAATATTGGCATACAAAAATATTTTATACAGCTAAGTACTTGAAAACTGAAAGTAATACATAAAACATATACTCCCAACCAGATCAGTGACAATAGTAATAAAACAATTATAATTTGAGTGTTGGTCTAGCAAAAGCTAGCAGTATTTTTCCAAAAGATGACTTATTTAATAACAACAATATAGTATATAAATATAAGTATGGGAAACATATAAAATGAGGAAGCATTTTATAAATAAATTAATGGGTGGGTAGGACAAATCCGTTCACTAGACTCTCACAGTGTGAGTTCGCATCGTCACTAGAAGGGATACTTAAAAAAAAATAGTAAAATTTCATTAGAAGAGTTTTTATCTAATTTGTTACATAAATTATCTCAATTTGCTGGAGTAGTTAGGAAAACATTATTTGTTGAATTGAAGCAGATTGCAGAACAATACTTGCTTTTCTGCAACAACAAGATCTTTGACAAGATTCTTATATTTTAGCATTTAGGACATTTATATCTGTAAACAATGGTTAACCATTGTTAACGAAAAGACGATTTTGAACGGGGTTAGGTTGATAGTATTGCTTTGTCAACAATATATAATATGTCATACTATGGTAAATTAATTACATATGCATTAAACATTTTTTTTTAATAATATTTATTTAATATTTTACCTATCTATTTTTCTATTCTCCCATGTTTTTTCCAATCATTTGAAAAACTCCTGGGAAAATCAAAAAAACGACCTCCCAAAAATACCACCCCAGTCAAATTTCCTTTTAGAAAAAGTGCTATCATTGTAAATCGGATCAAAATTTCTGGTAAAAAAGTTGTCCACAGAAAAATAAAAATAAAAAAACATCATTGTGAAACCAATACATACATACCTCGCTCCACTCAGAATCTAAAATAAATTATTGTTTTGTAAAGAGGCCCATTGAAAATTTCGTGACAGGGCCTAATCATAAGCCTAATCAATACTGTAAGCATTTGTTTCTTAAATTAAAGCAGACTAACCAAAGTTTTGTATTAATTGTCAGTTAAAAACTAAAACAAAAATCAAAACGTTTTTACAAGAAATATATTGGTCATGGCACATTTATATTATGTCTAGTACAACCTTATAATTATAGTGAAACCTATATAGTTATAAAAGATAATCTTTTTCAAGTGGAAACTTTGCTAAGTCCAAATATTGGTAAACCCATAGAATAAAATCAATAACTTGTTACTACAGAAAATAGTTATATTAGAGGTTTATCAAAACTAATGAAGGTTTCCAACTTTTTGATAAACTATAATATTATACTAGGTGTCTATTAATTTGCAATTACTTGGTGGTATTTTGAAATCAAATGAACAAAGTGGGGGGGCAACTTCATAATGGTACCTAAGGCAACCCCATTGCCCCATTGGTCATCTCATACGACAGATAGGAGATTCCATAGGAGCATTTTGATTCCCTTCAATAGGGAAAATGATATTATCAATTAAAAGGTTTATTTCTCCAGCCTACAGAAACAATATCACATGCCTACCGAAATCACCTGGGCTTTCCACCAGTAGGTTTGTAGGAGGCACCCAAGTTTGTGCGGCACCCCCGCTAAGTCTGTCTCATGATATCCTATCCTGAGGTTGATAATGTCATTTTATATATATTAATAATAATTGATGGCTACTAAAGAATAATAATGTGTGCTTTACCAATTTTTAAAAACACTTTATGGAGTTAGAAATACTTCAAAATGCCTAATTAAACATAACCTTTTAAATATATATTTATATATCTACAGAGTGTAACAAGAAGATTTTACACCTAAAAAAACTTTTGCTCTTTTCAATATTTTTTTTAAGTGTTTTTCTTTTGATAATTTCTAGAACCTAACATTGATTTAATTTTTTTACTAAAAATGTCCATACAATACATTTAATATTTAAAATATAATACATTAAAATTAATTTATCCCTTTAAGCAAAGCTTGAGGTGAGGTAAATGAATTAATATAAAATTCTAAACCATATACAATGATAATGACATCTATATTTCATATTTTTTTTATACAAAAATTAAAATAATGTTACAAAATCTAAAATGGTCATTTTATAGATATATTTGGATATTTAGATATCATTTTATTATAAATATTTGTTAATAATGAATTTTTAAGTTTCTAAAACGTTTGAAGTTTACAAAAATTATTAACAAAGTTATTTTTCATGAACAAATTTGTAAATCTACCAATTACTTAATAGTGAGAATGAAAAATTTTTAAATTAATATAAACTTCAATAGATTGTAAAAAATGAATGATTCATCATAAGTAAATTTAATATTTTGTAACACCAACATTTTGTTACAAAATATATCTATAAAATTGCTATCTTGAATTCATGAATTAAAAAATATATAAAATAAAAGAATCATAGTGCAATACTCTATTAATTATTACAAGAATAAAATAAAATTAAATATATAGAATAGATTAAGGGTATTTTAAGTATAAAATCTCGGTGTTACAGCTCATATATTATAACATCAGCAATTTTACTTCAGCAAGGTTATTTTTCAAATTTCATTAATAATACGAAAATATCCTAAAATAATGAGAAAATTGTAAGATATTTCAAAATATAATTTCAAGTACTTTTCGTAGTTTTTCATATTTAAACAAGGATACTTACTATATTTCATCTTTTTATTAATAAAATAAGCAGAATTAATATTTTTAATTTTCCTGGATAAATCATTTAATTGTAATAATATTTTTATTACTTTCATTTTGATGAAAATATAAATTATTAACCCTTTTAAATACTGTTTTTATTCAAAATACATAGAAAAAAGAATATTAAAAAATAGCTATTCAAAAGATTCATATAATAATTTTTTTAATTTTTGTACCAGATAAATATATATTTGATGATTTTGTTGTATTGTTAAGTTTTTTTTATTACTATATATGGTTCCACAAAATAAAATAGAATAAAAAATAAAATCAATTTAAAACATAATAGTTTATAACTTGTCATAATACCCGGTGATTTTTTTACTCTAGAATAATACTATAAAAGTTATATAATTTCATTGGTTATGATAAAATTACTTTTTACACTTACACTTACTGAAATTATAGAAAAACCACTCTTATCAAAATGCAATTAGTTTAAAAATGTGCAAGAGAAATTATTTAAAATATGTATAATATATACTCATAGATTGCGCATGGAAAATTATAAAAGAAGCAGCACAAATCGTATTGGATAAAGAACAAGAACTCACAGAGAAACGAGAAGTCAGTAAACTATAACTAAAATAGATAATAATTTGTAAAGCGAATGAAAATCTTATTTTTGTTTTGCACGAGAGTAGTATTATTATTATTTAATATTAATGTTAATAATCTCAGATTTATAAATATATATTTTTTTTAAACAAATAAAAATCATTATTATTAAATTAGTACAAATAAAATAATTATTAATTTCATTCTAATTCCAACTATTTATGTTAATGGTATTTAATTTTATACCACAGTTTATTCCCCTAATGCAATACAAAAGATATGTATTAGTTTTGATTCGAGGGCAATTTTCACTTTTAGACTTAGTTTCTCAAGATAGGTATCTAAGTAAAATACTTTTTTTCAATGAAAACCATAGACATACCTATACTGAAACATATTAAATACATCAGATTTACAATCGCTTCCCCTCAGAAATTGACTTGGTATTAACTTTATTATTACGAACAAATGTATCTTATAATTTTTCTGTTGTAAAATAGGAACAAGTGGATGAAGTATTTGAATTGACTGAACGTAAGAAGAAGGACGATTTAGCTTACAGGAGATCTTTCTTTGTACGAATGGTCAGCGATCCAAAAATATACAATCCAAAAATCGCTAGATCATCACCCGGATCACGCAGGCACACTCATTTAAGTTCAATGGATGATGACATTCATGACTCATCGTCGATAACTCCAAATGATACAGAAGATACAATTTCACATCCAGCGTAAATAATAATATATCAATATCTGCACGATTGTTTATTGACCAATTATTATTTATATGAAACATTTAAGCCAAAATCTATAAAGCTACATTTTTATAATCTAGGGTAATTTAGTTTATAACTTCCTGTATACAACAATTAATCATTACAAACGAAAAACGATTCTGAGTGAAGTTCGAATAAATTGAAATTGAAACTTTTACTAATTTGTAACTAGAAAATAAATTACAATTTTTCTGGTTTTTAATGAATCTTGTCATAAATTTAAACTTTAAAAACGATTATAATTATAAATAACGACATTTCACTTACATTTTTTCTAATTACCACGCAGTAAAAATTTAATATATCTTGTATCAAATTTTTAATTTACAAAAATCGAAAAAAAAGTATCCAAAATGTTTATTATTTTTAAGATTTTTGTAAAAATTTCAACTTTAAACACGATTATATAAAAAAAGAACTTAGTTTTGAATTCGCAATATTTTTTAAATAAGAACCACCTATGTGGAACTTTGATTATCACGTTCAATAATTTAAATAAAGCCGAATTAATTTTATCCAAATAAATTTAAAAAACCTTAACAATTTCAAATATTTATTAACCGTAGTTAATTTACTCAAAAACTGTTAATCCAACATATTTTCATCAGATTAAAAAAAAAAAAAAGATTACACTATAGTAAAATTAATACATTTAATACATACTTCACTTAGAATAAAAAAAATTATTTTATTTATTATTTTTAGGAGTTCATGGATAAGTTGGCCACTGGCATTTTTATTTCAAGGAGTATTTGATGATAAAGAAGGCAATGATGTACCTGTTAGGTTGGTTATACAAAACATAATTAGAAATCTGAATTACATTGAATATTAAACAATGCTATTTGTCTATAGGTTTAGGCATTTAGCGACTAAAATGCATTTTAAATCCAAAAGCAAATCAACATCACCAGAACATTTGGCTGCGGATGAAAACAAATCACGTCGTAATTCTCCAATATTTCAAAGAAAACTAAGCCTAGTCAAAACTGAGAACGAAAATATTAAACAAAAACCACAGTAATTAACCAAAATATAAAGATTTGATAGTTCTTTTTTTTTTTTCTAAGCTTTTTAGCAACAATAATAAATATCTAATGACCTCAAACATGTAACCTCGTAAGCATAAATAATTAAATCTATACACATAATAATTGCTAAACATTATACAATAATCTTATTTATATATATAAAAAAAAAATCATTTCATATACTATGTTAGTTATAATAACATTATTAGAATGTTTGAATCATATAAAATTTAAATATAGGTAATAGTTTAGTATTTCATTGTGATAATTTAAAAATCATATAATTTGTTTTTATCAATTAGGTTTAAAATCAAATAAGGCGCCTTTATTTAGCTATGCACTCCAAGAGGTTGGAAATAAATAAATTTTCTTATCTGAATAAATGTAATACTTAGGAATAGGAACTTTTATTAAAATTATTGTAAGTTTTGTTAATGTGAAACTTTAATATACTATAGTGAGAAATTTAAATATTGTACTAGTATAAAATAATTGAGAATTCTGTACAAGACATAAGTTAATGATTTAATAATGTATCTTTAATTTAAATACCTAGATATGTTTATATTAGATTGTAGTATTAAATATTAATTAGTTATAAATATTTTATCTCATGCATTATTATTGCTTAGCTATATTTTTATTTTATTTTGCTATTCAAATAATGTTTGTTATATTGTAACCTGTAACAGATTGTAGTTCCAGCTAATTAAGTCATCTATTATTCTATTAATGGTTATTACCTGAATTTATATGAATTACTTTTATATCCATGCTTGAAACATAATTAAAAATAATAAGAAATTTACTTTAGAAAAAATATAAAGTCATAATAATCATAAAAACAAGTATAACTTACTTATACAACGTAATGACTTCAACAATGTATGATTTTTGTTTCTACAGTGAATGTTAAATATAATAATTTGTTCAGTATTACCATTTGCATAAAGTTCAAGGCTAAATTAAAGTATTATTTCTTATTACTAAATTGAAAGAAAACTGTAACTATGCAGTGAACACCGATTATTAATAATATGCAAAAACAAATTTAAATACCTATTTCAAAATAATTGAAGTTCGACTAAAGCATAATCCAACTCTTAATTTAATAAAAAAATGATTTTATCATTGACATAATATAAACAAATGATGTGAAGGAGATATAGTCTCAGCAAGAATGGACCATTCAGAATTGTAGGAGTTTTAATTCAATATAATACTTTTCAATTAAAACAATTCTAAGTAATAATTATATCATATTATACATTTAATTATAAGTAAATCAAATACTATAATATATTCATTCTATGTAATTTTAAGTTTCACATTTAGGTAGGTATCATGGTAAATATATGTTTTTTTACAATAAATTATAATATTTTATTGTTCTCAGAAGAACTTAAATTTGCAATTCTCTCAGCTAACCTGAGATCTCAGCATTTCATATTCCTTTCTATCAAACTAATTATGGTAATACAGCCCTTTTAGTTAGGATAATGCAAAACTTATTAATCTTATTAGTTGTAATTTATTTTTTGAATGGCTACCAATAATCGTTTTTTATTCTTATTATTAATATTTGTAAACATATAGGCTATTGTCTCAGGAGAAATTCTTTTTCGTGAAATAAATAAATAATGGTTCATAAAACTCTATAATTCAATGTGTAATAATTATAATTTTAGTTTTATCAGCACTTAAATAATTTATATATTTTGAATTGTTTGTATTTTATAAATATTATAAAAGAAGTTAACTGAGAATTATTATTATAAATAAATAAATTAGTATATATAATATAGTCAATATAATATTACTAATCTAACTTTTAACAATATTATAATGTAATTAACAAGAAATGAAAAGTAGAACTGAACAACAATAACAAATTAAAGTGAATTACAATTATCATTAACACTAATAAGAATATGTAGTATAATCCTGATACCTACATGTTAACAAAAACAATAATTTAATGGATGTATTAAAATATATATATAGAGAGAATGCAAGAGGTGCATGTGCACTGGGTGCTATGACCAGGAGGCACCAAATATAAACTAGTTAACAGTGAAAATTGTGTAGTTTTTTAATTGAATATTTTTATAATAAACGTAATAAACATACAAGTAAACGCCAATGGACAGGTTTAACATATAAGGTTTTTTTAGTACATTTTTCTAGCACCGGACATTGATTTTGCTAAGTACGGCACTGCCAATACAATACACACTGATAATTGATATAGTTTTAGACAGAAAAGCTTAAGAAATTGCAAAGGGACCATAGCCTTTATAAGTTACCAATTTATAGATTTCATTTTTTTAAATTCTACACCTATTGCTGATTACAGAGATTGACATAATTAGTGACCAGAAGGGAATTAACTGTTTGACTTATTTTGAAATGATATCACTATATTATACACACTACGTATTGTTATCTTGGCAATGAAAGAAATAATTATAAACCTATTTGAGGTCATGAGTTATACTTAAAAAACAAAATATAATTTCTAATTTGTTACCTAGGAGCTTCCTGCATTAAGAAAATAAAAACCTTGTATTGAATTATATATTTTTTTAACTTTTAGTACACATCCTTATGTAAGTATGTAGACCAAAAATTTATGCAAAAATACATGGCATAACGATTACTACCTAAGCGCTAATACCTAAGTAATTAGCTCGGATTATTATGTAAGTTACAATTTATCAGTAAAAGAAAAATCATATATGTATACACAAGTACATACAGTAGACAGATATTTATTTATCAAGTTATTTGTAATTGTAACACAGTACTAAGTATTATAATAGTATCTATCATAAAATGAATGAAATAATAGTAATATTAACAATATTATTTCAATTATTATGTAGTAGTAGGTATTGCAACTACTATACTACCTCAGTAATACTTGAGGGATTTGATAATAAACAAAAAATATATAAAATGATAATATATAATGCGCAATTTTTTTTTTTTAAATTTATTACAAAGAATATTTAATTTTTTGAGATATAAAAACAAAACAGATAGGTCTTTCTTTAATAAAAAAAAAACTAATTACCCATGTATAAAAGCTACAACAATGTATTTTCAAGATAAAATGAGTAACTAATAAGAAACTAACAAAACTAAATAATTAGATACCTAGGTATAATAATTAAAATCATTTTAATTTATTTCAATAGATATACATTTCTGTATAATATAGTTAAACAATTTTTCTTAAACAACCTAAATTATATTTTATATTATATTATAGGTATTAGATATTCAGAGTAGAACCGCTATAAGGAAAAACAAAAATGTTGTTTTCATTCCCTGAAGAAGCCAAATGTTAAAACCTCAATAAATTAAAGGACAATTTAAATAATTTGATATTCACAGATTTGCTATTGAATAAATTGGATTAATTTATACAGGTAGTTATAGATATTAAAAAATAAAACAAACTCACTTGATTATCCAAATGGTACACACTAGATATTTAAATAAAAGTTTAAAACAAAAATACGTATGTAAGTATAGAACAGAGTAAGTGAAAAAATAAATTGACTAGAGTTTATTAAGATTAACAGCAAAATAAACAAACACTAGTAGCACAAAAGTAACATCCAATGTTTGTAGATAATTACAATTAACCACATGTTATGATTGTTATGAAAGCCTGCTGATCGCGTGATAAGCAGTCGTTCACAGTGATAACAACCCGGATTGTGCGTCTTGGCAATAGTGAGCAACCCCACTTATTCTAAAATTTAGTTTCAAGTACTTAATCGTTATTGTTAATATTACGGGTTTTTTTTTTTTTTTTATAAGACCCATTAGATTAAATATTTATTAAAAACAATTATTACCATGTAAATTATATTAGTAAGACAGTTACTGTTGTACCTTATTGTAATTACGTATCAAATTGTAATATATGATTACGTGTAACATCCACCGAGATACAATATTCGACTTTGTGAATTATATTGCACACAAGGCACGTGCATTAATAAATAATATTTGGGCAATGCAGTCCGGTCGCATATTAACACACTGCTCACGAAATGAAATCCAACCCGACCTGATTTTGCTTAACAATTCTGAGTTTATTCTCGGTTGATCTCCACCATTCGCTTACAATGGCCATTTCCTACCGGCCTGTAGGCCACAGACCGTAGTATTAAAATATAAAATAAAAATTTGAATAATATACTCAAATATTTTATTTTAACGTACGTTCCACTAACAATATTTGATAAGGAAGCCCAGTGGTTCCCAAATATGTACAAAATGTTTGTTTATTCAACTGCTGAAATTGTATTGTTTTTGGTTTAATATCAGTTGTCTAATCGACATCTAAAAATTAATTTTTTAACCGAGTTTTATTGCCATCGTTCAAGTTTTTACCAATGCAGCTAACCCAGTTTCTGTAAATTGTTCTATTTGTCTGCTTATTGCCTATCTAACTTTCAAAATTCTATTGTTAAAAAAAAAAAACGAATATTTCTATACCAAAATAATATGGTATAGAAATAATAGTAAAATAACAGTAGGTAACTTTTTATCCATTAATTGGAAAATTGTTCAAAGTAAATATTTGTATTGATTATTAGGTAAATGATATGGCATGAAAATTGTACCTAATTTTTATAAGGATATGTATGACATAAGAGTTATTTTATAAGGTATTATTGTAAACAAGCCTTACCAAATTAAACCAATAAACTTATTTCGTCTTACTTTTATATGTCTAGAGCTTTCAGTATTTTTTTGTTTTAAGATAATTTCAGTGTACTATATGATGAGACCACTAACTCAAATGGAAACAAAGAGTTGCAAATTTAATTTGATATTGTTATTGTTCTAAAATTATGGTTTCATCTTATGGTTTAGTTAGGCACATATTTTATTGGAAAAGCATCAGCTGAGATATTATATGGAAAAACAATTCAAATTTTAGATGAAGCTGATTTACGCTTGAGCAAAATGTTGATGTTAAGATTGAACGGCCCGGATGTTAACAAAAATGTAGCACGTTTATAATAAACGAACAATAGTATAGTGACCTGGAGAAATGGTAAATTAATTGACATAAGTACTTGAAATATTAATATAATTTATGGGTTTCTTAAAGGTGTAGGCAAATTTGATGATGACACATCTTAATTAATCGTAACTGTTTACTAATTTTTTAATCGATGACCAACTAGATGGGAGAAATTCGCGTACAATTTTAAAAGAATTGGATCTACTTACCAATAATTCAATGTATAAAGTATACAATTTTGTCAACGGGATTTCCTTCTATTTTTCAGCGGCCATCAAAGTTGAACACCTCGGGCGGTTTATTACGTTGGTTATTAGTAACTACAATTTTCTTTTTAGTCCCTCTTAGTTAATTTCGTGCATTTGTATACATTTATTACCTATCTAATAGTATACGATGTTTATGCAGTTTGGGAACCACTGGATTTTATTATCAAATATTACCAGCGAAAAACTATAGATAATAATCTATGCGGAAAATAATATGTTTACTACGTTATCATTGATCTTTATTCTTAGTTTTTTAGAATAATTTTCAGCATAGATACCAATAAAATGGTTAATAATAATAATAATAATAATATATTTCTGTTTATTATTGTGATTTTGGATGACTGCATCCTGCTCAGCTTGATTTCGTATTTAATAGGGGTTCTTTTGTTTCACAAAAAAATGTTCCAATCGTTATTTTTTTCAAAAATCATTCCACACTTTATTGAAACAAAATCTATTTTAACAAGGGTCTTGTCGGGAAAATGGTCATTGGAAGTAATATATTTTGGACCAAGGATGGATTGGAAAATATGTTTTGTGGAAACAGCGGCATTAAAATAATTATTATATTTTAGAATACAACCTCAAGAGAACAAATATCAATTGTGACATTGGTGTTTTGAAATACATTTTTCACCAAATTAGGTACCAAATTACAGTGTTCCAAATCATTGTCGTCCATGTAAATATAATTACCTACCCGAGTATATTCATGGCGCGGTCCAAGTTGTTTATATTTTAATATTAGTATAGAGATTATATTTGCAAGTAAACTATACACCATAACAGAATTTGTTAACTCACAAAATAGATTTCATTTATTTTATAAACTTACCTAGTAGGATCAATTAGTTTATCTTGTTTTTACTAATTATTATTATTCACGGTTGTCAATATTTTTAAGTTCACCAATTTCCTGACTTTTTTATGTTTCCAAACTGTTTCTTTCAATTTTCTATACCCATCAGTAATATACCTAAGTTCTTCTTACTGGAGGGGGGAGCAAATTCTGACCTATATAGAAAAACTGAATTGGAACTCTGAAAGATTAAATAGACAAACATAGGAAATCCAAATCCCAAAACTGCTAATGAAACAGTTACCTAGGTACATTCCGATGTATTTTACACAAATATTTTTAAAATTGTCTATACATTTTTTAATAATTACCATTAGTAACAATCAGCACTTAATAAGAATTTTAATACTTCTTTTATTTAACTATTAATCATACAAATAAGATGACTAATGATCATATTTCAATAAAAAAAAAAAAGATCATATTACTGCACCATATACATGTTAATCAGAGCTCAAATTGAAATTAAGTTGATACTGGAGACAGGTGCAGCCACTGTTGAAGGTGGGCAGATAGGAAGATAAGATACATAAAGTTATTTAATTTATATTTGTACCCAGCGATAAATTATTTCTAATGAAAAACGATTCAGAACAAAGTTCGATAAGACATATTTTGAAATGCCATAATTTTTACGATTCTCGTCAAAATTTGAGCTTGAAACGCTCATGAAAGAAAACTAAAGCTCAAATTTTTTTTAAAACCATTAAGTATAAATTAACTTATACATAACTTATATTATACCTTTTATTACATTTTCAAACATTTCTCTTTAGTCATATAGTTTAAATATTAAATACAATTTTATATTTTATTTGTGTCAACCAAATAAAAATACATATAAAAACATGAAAATATTAAACACATTTTAAATAGCTTAAAAATACCTACGATGTTTAACTATTGATGATAAACTATTAAAAATTGTACAAATCAAATTCTGTATACTGCAGTATTTCCTACGTTTTTCCCCAGTTTTTCATAATTTTCAGAAAAAATAAACAGAACATATTAACAACGACTTTCTTAGTCACAAATAAGACAAAATTGCTCTTCAGAAAATGTGCTACTCTTGAAATTTAGACAAAGATTTCTGGTAGAAAAATATAATCTTAAACATTTTAAATAATGAAACCATTGTGCCATATTTTGAAAAAAATCTTATTTTTTGTCTTTTTTGGTTTTATTAAATTTTTATGAAAACTACATCAGATATAAAAAAATGACAATCTTTGTTATTATATAGATATAAAATGAAACAAAATCTCTAGTTAATTTTTTGATTTGAGTCATATTTCTGGTAGACAACATGGTAACGCTGCGGCATTTCGTAAATAATTTCCGTTTAATAGTTTTTTTTCGGGGTTTTCTCAATTATTTTCAAAACCTCTAAGAAAATCAAAAAATGGCACCCACAATGCACCAACTAGAGAAAATTTCCTTTCCCAAAAAAGTGCTAAAATGAATTACTTTGGAGCAAGATTACGGGTAAAAAAGTAGTTAAGAGTTAGAAAAAAATAATAAAAACACATATCATAGTAAAACGAATAGATACGCTACGCTTCAAAATCTAAAATAAAAAAAGAACTACACAAAGAAATATAACTAAAAAAAAAATTAGCCTTCTTTACAGTTAGTGAACTCAAACTATTCCGTGGGGGCTTTATCCCCATACTCTCATTATACAAAATTTTAAACATAATGCCAAAAAAAAAAAAAACCAATAGTAGTTTTGTGGGCAATCTTATTCCTGGATAAAATTTTTAGAAATTTTAAATTAATAATAAAAATGATAGTTTTCAAAGGTGCTTTAAAAGTATAATCGAATTTAGTTGGTAAATGTTTGAACCAGATTTTCATACATTTTCACCTGTAATGACATTTCAATAATTGGAGTTATTCATGAGCACAGATAATTTAGGTCGTTTATTATGTTTATAATATACAGTTGCCAAAATGAAAATTATACACGTGGGGTAGAATCTTAAGCCCAATACACATCCGAAGAACAAAACTGTTTGTCACACACAGTTTTTGCTAAAAATAACACATAGGAAATTACCCCATAATCCATGACCATGGGAATTACATTGCATAGGTACGCACATTCATTATACAAGCCATAGTCATACGTATAACTTATGTTTATGGGTAAAATCATCATTAAACCCAAAATTAAATAGTTTAAATTGATTAAAAACCCAAAGGGTAATGTAAATACTTTATAAAAAACATCTTGGTAGTAAAAATAATTTAAAAATTACACGCATTCATATAGAAAAAAAAGAGAAGTTGGGAAGGTAGGATACACAAGATTATTTCATTTAAATCTATAAGCAATAATAAACCATTGCTGACAAAAGACGATTCCGAGCGCAGTTCGGTAATACATAATTTGAATTGTCGTAATTTTTTTTTTGCGATTTTCGTTTAAATTTGATTTCAAAACGCGATTAAAAAAAAAAAAAGTCGTCCAATCATTTTGGAAATTTTACCACGTCTAGGTCAGTTCAACATAAATATTATTATCTCTACGGGTATTTATAATCGAATCACAGCAAAAAAACTATCAAAAATTACAATTCCTTAAAAGCTCAAAAGTTTTGGCAATGATACCGTAAGGAATTAAATTAAAAAGGAAACAAAAAACGAGTCCTGTGGTTTTCCTGTGGTTTAAATCATTTTTTCTGTTAGAAAACGTCGTCCGTGTTTTTATTTAATAATGAAATCGTGAAATTGTACATTTCCCTAAGTTTTTTCCCACTCAAGTGTTTTTATTTAAAAAAATGGCGTCTTCCAAAAAAACGTTTCCACAGACTAGAACAAAGAAAAAAGAAAAAGAAGAAAAAATAAACATCATTGTAAAACCAATAGCTCCATCGCCACGCTCGGAATCTAAAAATCATATCAGTAAATATTTTTAAATACGAACCTATATATTTTACTGTAGCCACGATTTGTCACGATTTCTGAAGAGACAAAACTTCTCCCAAGAATGACTGTCTCGTGGAATATAAAATTTGAACAAAATATGTGTCTTGGAAATTTGAATAAAAAATCATTGGAATAAAATATAGTTTGAAAATTTGTATCTTGGAGCAAAAACTATTGAAAATTTAGTTGTTATTAACATAATACGTATAATAATTCATAATAAACTACGTTTGTATAAAAGCGGTTTAAAAATTTAAAGTGGTTTAATAATGTAAATGATTTAAAGCGACATTAATAAAATATATAGTTTTTATTTTAAGGATGCTCGAATATGTGGTTTACCGATCGGTTTTTTTTATAAATAAAAACGGCTGTATTTTTGTATATGCAAACGAAATAATCACTTTTATTTTGATAAATGATAACATAATTCAGTATCAATATTCAGATTGTATTTTTATAAGAAATAAAATATAAATTGTACTGATATTTCGGTTTAATTAATGGAGAATGTAGAAATTGAAAAATGAATAACCCCGTTAAAGATGTAGTTGGAGTTCTGCAGAAATAGTTACATTGATTGCTTCTATAGAATAAAATATAACTATGAAACTGCTAGACAGGAAACGATTTAGAAACACAGATGTAAGTAACAAAACTGACTCATTTTATTAATTAAATGTGTTATCAATCTATACTTGAACCTATAAGGCGTAACCTAATAAATAATACAAAATATTAAACTAATTAATGACTAGATAAATAAATAATTATTAAAAAGCAGTTTGAATTATGTACAATAATTAAATTATATTTCCTAACAAAATTATTTTACTTCAATTTGTTTCTTATAGATTTACGAAATTCTGAGATTGGATTTAGGAAAAATTGATTCATCGAAAACTGTTGCTCAAGTTAGAGCAAAGTGGTTACTCTGAAAAAAATTGTATAAACAAGAAAAAATGGAAGTAATAGAATATTATGCATTTTTGAAACAGTCTTAGGAATTCGACCATCTATTAAACCACTTGATTTCACAATAGACCCAATTAAAGAAAATGGTAGTGATATTTGTTTGGTTTTTGAGTAAAAGAAACAACAAAATAATTTTTGGTAAGCTACTTGACTAGCTTTCAAGTCTAAAATATTAAAAAAATCTTCCTCAAAATGGCTGTTTACTATCCTGTCCCAAAAATCTGACCTACTGTTCTAAATATCATACATTCAAATTATAATGGTGACTGATCATTACACAAAAAATAAATAGGAATCAAAA